AACATAAACGTGGTTTATCCTGTGTTAAATGTTATGGGATGAGGGCAGGGTCAGTCTCAGGGAAAAAACTATTTACCCACAAGGAGGTTGTGCCCCTCAAATCAACCCTGAGCTAACCCCCCCTCACTTTATTGTTTGGTTGTGCTGGTCCAGGGCACAAGGAATAATGAAAAATAATAAAAATATCATTTAAATGTTCTGAAATCCAGAATCCCAGGGTGGTTTGGGTGGGAAGGGACCTTAAAGCCCATCCAGTTCCACCCCCTGCCTCGGGCAGGGACACCAGGGAGGGTGATAAACGTGGATCCTTTCAGTTGGAAAACTAATCACACAAAACCTGAACTGCTGGGTGATTTGGAAGGTGAACTGGGCCTGGAGATTGACTTAAACTCTGCAGTTTGGAGGTTTCTTTCTGCTTTTCTGGGCACACACTGAGAGCCACCAGTGGGGGGGTTACCTGCTCGTTCTGGGGGAATTTCAGAGAAATTCATAAGTTGATTCCCCATCAGAAATGACAGAACCAGGTGGGATCATTTAGGAAGGTTTTCCCCTTCCTTTTCCACAGCTATGGTATCAAAATTCAGACTGTAAAAGCAGTGGGAAGGTGAGAACACAGAGCTGGGAGCTCCAAACTGTCCCTGAACCCCTGATCCTGCCCCTTCTTGCAGGTCCCCTTGGTACAAGAATTCCCAGCAGCAATTACACTCCCTCCTGGCAGCAGCTTTTAATTTGACCTTGCAATATCACAGAGAGCTCAGCTATTAACTCCACTCCCAAATTGCTGCCTTTTTTTATGGTTTTATATTAGGAATGGCCATCGTTCCGTTGTCTGCAAAAGGCACCTGAGAGTCTTCAGCAGGAGAGGTCCTGATGTCCTTGATTATTATGATGATTTTCCCATCAGACCTTTCTGCCAACTCAACCTTTACGTTGTTCTTTTGTCAGGAAGGACGTGGAGCCACTGGAACAGATCCAGAGGAGGCCCCAGAGCTGCTCCAGGGCTGGATCCCTCTGCTCTGGAGCCAGGCTGGGAGAGCTGGGGGGGTCACCTGGAGAAGAGAAGGCTCCAGGGACACCTGAGAGCCCCTTGCAGGGCCTAAAGGGGCTCCAGGAGAGCTGGAGAGGGACTGGGGACAAGGCATGGAGGGACAGGACACAGGGAATGGCTTCCCACTGCCAGAGGGCAGGGAGGGATGGGAGATTGGGAAGGAATTGCTGGCTGGGAGGGTGGGCAGGCCCTGGCACAGGTTGGGCAGAGAAGCTGTGGCTGCCCCTGGATCCCTGGAAGTGTCCAAGGCCAGGCTGGAGCAGCCTGGGCTGGTGGAAGGTGTTCCTGCCCATGGCAGGGGTGGCACTGGATGAGTTTTAAGGTCCCTTCCAGCCCAACCCATTCTATGATTTTGGGATTTACACATGGGATTATATTTATTTTTTTTTCCCAGCAGGAAAGGCAGCCCAGGGCTGTGGTGTCCATGGCTGCAGTTGGGAAGGACTGTGATCCAGGGAACACCATTCCAGTTTGCATTTTGATGTTCCCCTGGTTTGGGTTGAGCACTGCAAGAGGAGTTGTGAGAATCTGGTAAATTAAGGAGCAGTTTAAGGAATGCTTGGGAATCTTACTGGCTCTTGTGAGGAGGAAAATATTATCCTCCTGATGGAACAAATATCTAAATTAATTTGAATTTCATTGACAACCTCTGTGTTTTCTTGCTGTTCTGAAACCTTCCAATCCCAGCTTTGAGCCTGTTAGTGTGTGATTTCCCTGTCCTGTGTGGAATTCCCTGGATATCTCAGCTCCAGGCAGTATTTCAGCCCTCGTGTTACAAATGTTTGTTCTTAAATGTGTTCTTTTCAGGGACCAGGAGTAATGACTCTGCTTGTTGAGTGGTACTTCTTTGCTGCTGTACTTCGTGGAGCTGATGCCTTCGAATTTGTTTAATTTAAAGTCTTTTAATCTTTCTCCCCTGTAGCACAGGGTGCCATAACGATGATGAGAACACTTCCATTAATTCAGTTAATGCTTTCCCCAATTGCCAGTCCTCTCCTCGTGGCAGCCACGTGGAGCTGCTGTGGAGCACAGGAGATGTCCCACCCCCACAGCCCCTCTCCCAGGAACAAACAGATTTATGGATCCCTGATTTTTATACAAAAGTATAAAGAGTTGCTGCATTTTTTGGGTGAGAAGATGCCTCCTTTCAGATCTTCTGGTAGAAACACCAGCCCCTATCCCTAAAAAGATTCCCCATCCATCCCAAAAGGTGGGTTTTTTTTTTTTTGGAACTCTGCAGCTCAGTGTTATTCTCTCACTCCAGACCTCCTTACACCTCTTCAGCTGTTCTGCCTCCAGGCTACTGGGAGCAGAGGCAGCGTGGGCTGGGCTGTCTCCAGACAACATGTGTACCAGAAATGCTAAAAATGTCTGATTTCTGGCAGAAGTTACGAGTGCTGATGCTTTTAGTATTGAAAAGCAACTCTTTTTGTGGAATCCTGGCACTCTTGTGTTGAGAAACACTGCGAAGTAAATGATCTATTTAATGATGTTTATGACAACTTTGCAGGATTTATCGCTGCTGTGTAATTAAAACTGGAATTCTTTATGTTCTGGATTAAGACAAGTCTGTGTGTGGTTCTGAGCAGCAGAGATTCATCACGGAAATGGCAAATCGATCCTTGACTTTATTGGGTTCTGTGTGCAGTTTATGGCAACAAATTATTGGGGAAGGAATTGCTGGCTGGGAGGGTGGGCAGGCCCTGGCACAGGTTGGGCAGAGAAGCTGTGGCTGCCCCTGGATCCCTGGCAGTGTCCCAGGCCAGGTTGGAGCAGCCTGGGCTGGTGGAAGGTGTCCCTGCCCATGGCAGGGGTGGGAATGGGTGGGATTTAAGGTCCCTTCCCACCCAAACCAGTCTGGGATCCTGTGAAATCTGTACATTTGTAGCAAAGCAATCAAGGCTGTTTTACTTTGCAGCCAAACTCCTTTTCTGGGGTGATTTCTCGTGGTTTTGAAACCAGAGTGATCCCTGCAAGGAGCTGTGCACTCTGTCCCCCCTGTGCAGTTCCAGGAGGAGCTGCACTCACTTCCCACTTCTCCAAGGAGGCATCTCCCTGAACTCCACGTAGTAGTTGCACCAAGGAGCAGTGATTCAGCACTTCTCCTCGTGAACTTGCTGAAGGGAATTGCAACTATTTTGGAAGAGTGCCTTCTTTTATTATTCAAAAGCAAATCCATCCACCAGACCCAGCTTTACCTGCAAGGCCAGGGGCGAGCAGCTCCTCTCCGCTGCCTGTCCTGGAGCACACGGGGTGAGGGAGCTGACTCCAGGAGTGCCCCCAAGGAATGGAAGTGCTGTTTCTCCAGCATTCTGCCTGCAGTTATTTTTCATCATCTGTCAGCACAGACAGAGCTCCTTTGGAAGGGAAATCAGCCCCTCACCGGCTTGGTGTGAGTGCCGAGGTCCTCGGGGCAGTGGGGAATGGAGAGCATGGAATTCAAGATAAAGAAAGGGAGGAAAAGCCAAGCTCAGTGGATTGCAAAGCCTTCCATTTATTTAACAATTCAGCACAGGCACTGCCCGGGGACTGCTGCCCAGACACACACAGCAGCTCCGGGCAGATCCTAGGATTTATGAGCCTTGCCGGGGTTTTGTTGTTTTCTCACCCCAAATGTTTGTTTTCCTCCCTCATCCTTGGCCTGCAGGACCTGCCCTTTGGTTTGAGCCGTGAGTGACCCCAATAACCCTGCACACCCAAGGGGGCAGCTCTGCAGGGGCTCAAGGGCAGGGATGGGGATCCATCCCTGTGCATCCCACCTGCCACGGCTGAGCCTGGCTGGGAACACCCCCAAACCTGGGGGCTCTGTGGGGGAGTCAGGAGGTCAATCCACACTCAGTCATGGGTTTTATCCTTGCCCTGGATCAGGAGCAGCACCTGCATGTGCTGCAACAGGAGCTGGGATTACAGCAGAGATGAAACTGCTCTTGGATTGACCTCGAATCTTAAGGTGGGCACTCCAGTGACTGCTGTGTGCCGTGGGATTCCCTTGGGATGGGGGCTCGGGGGTTAACATGGATTGGGGTTGGCAGCATCCATTTTTCCATGTCTGAGCAGATCCCTCTCACCTGGAGCTGGGACTGGAATTTGTGTCTGCACTGCTAGTTAATGTCATTAAAAAAAATTTTATATATATATATAAATATTAAATAATTAACTTGTTATTAATACAATCAACATAAATATATAAAATACAAAAATAACAGTAACAGAATAATATTAAATTTTATTTATTTTAGAAAACCAGAATTTTATCTCGGAGAATTTGTCTTACAGCCCAAACCATTTGGAAGTGCCACTGGGAGGGAATATTATAATTATTTCTGCACATGGGATTTTTCCTTTCTGTCCTTCTGCTGTCAGGATGTATCTTGTTTATTTTGCTGTGCTTATATGAGATGATACTGTGGTTTTCCTTAAAATCCAAAATACAAATATTTCCCTAAAATAATCCCTAATAACATGTAAAAGATTCTCTGTAGGGTTGGAATATTATAATTTCCTCTCTGACACTGAAGATTGTTTAATTATTTACCAGGATGGGATTTTGCTGTTGCATGCCTAGGAATTAAAACTGAACAAAAAATAGAAGGAACTGGTTAAAATTAGATTAATGTACATGTTCTTCAGGTATTTCCAGCGTCCATAGAAGTGATTTTCAAACCATTTCTGTCTCTGGTTCTCTGGGATCCTGGTGGAAATCTCTTGGGAATTGTCATTTATTGTTGTTGTAATCACAGCCAAGAGCTGCAGGTGAACAAATCGGGGGGGATTAATCATCTTAGGGTAAAACTAGATGTACATTGGGATCTGGCTGGAGAGCAAAGCTCCCAGTGGAGCAGGGAAAATGGGTGTTTTTATTGCTTTTTAGCATTCCTTGTTGAACAGCAAACCCTGCCGAGCCCCGCAGGATAAACCCGACTGGGAGCGGCTGTCGCTGTTTGTGTTGCAGCCGTTATTTCCCGGAACCAGGACGGGCCAGGAGAGATGGGAAAGGCCGTGCTCATTCCCAAGGATGACCAGGAGAAGATGAAGGAGCTGTTTAAGATCAACCAGTTCAACCTGATGGCCAGTGACCTCATCGCCCTCAACCGCAGCCTGCCCGACGTGCGGCTGGACGGGTGAGCGCTGAGGATCATCCCATCCCATCCCATCCCATCCCATCCCATCCCATCCCATCCCATCCCATCCCATCCCATCCCATCCCATCCCATCCCATCCCATCCCATCCCATCCCCTCCCACGGGCAGGGACACCTTCCACCAGCCCAGGCTGCTCCAACCTGGCCTTGGACACTTCCAGGGATCCAGGGGCAGCCACAGCTTCTCTGCCCAACCTGTGCCAGGGCCTGCCCACCCTCCCAGCCAGCAATTCCTTCCCAATCTCCCATCTCTCCCTGCCCTCTGGCAGTGGGAAGCCATTCCCTGTGTCCTGTCCCTCCATGCCTTGTCCCCAGTCCCTCTCCAGCTCTCCCTGGATCCTTCCCTTCTCCGTAACAAACACCCTCTTGTGCCTCTTGTCACCTGGAACGATTTAAATCCTTTAATCTTCAGGGAAAACTTTATTCCTGAGGTTTTGAAAAGATGAAACCAGCAATGCCTGCTTTATAAATTTCCAGAGCTCTGCTGTCAGGTGTTAAAGATTGACATTTTAAAGCTGATCAAGAGAAAATGCTGCCAATGCCAAAATCTGCCTGTGGGATGTGGCTTTCCTTCCCTTTGGTCCACAGACGTTTTCTGGAGCATCTGTCAAGGATTTCTGCAATAGTTTAAGAACTGAAGGGGTATTTTGGAGGTTATTTTTATTTTGATTTTTAATTTTATTAACTTAGGGTTTGTGAGGGAAGCCCGAAGTTTGTGTGGTGACCTGGGGGCTGGGGAAGAGCTTCAGGGAGAGTTTCACCAAGTCCATTGAGTTACTTGCAGTGGAATTTGCAGAGGAAAACTTCTGTATAACAGGACATCCTCCACCTGGAATTTCATGTGTGGAGTGTTATCCAGAGTTCATGCTTTTGGAAGGAAATTTTTAGAGGTGGGATTTTTTTCCCCCCAGAATTGTTATAGAAACCTTGAGTTTATTGGAATTCATCTTTTTCCAATTCATTTTTTGCTTTATTTTCCTTTTTTCCCCTGTTCTATAAATCCCATGGTCTGATTTGTAGGTATAGCAGCTTATAACCAATAAAAATTGAGATAAATGAAAGCAAAGCTGATCACTCACACACAAGAGATCAGGTCTTCTAAAATCTCCCATTACTTTGGCTTTTTAAACTGAATTGTCACTTGGCTCAAGTCCTGCTTATTATGCTTTGATGGAAATGAAATCTTTTGGGTTCCCATGAGATTTTACATAAGGTTAATGCTTTTTTGCCTGGATTTTATTCCTAAATGCCTGCAAAGAACAGAAGGGGAACAGGAATATTCACCTCAGTGACTGGTTACGCTCAGCTGGAGGGAAAAGGGCTGTTTAAAACACTGAGGGAAATGTGTCTAAATGCATTTTCTTGATGAAAAGAAGTTCTGTCTTCTCTGGTGAAAGGACAGAAAGCATTGAGAAAAATAATTTCCCCATTTCCCTCTTCAGACAGAAGCTTTCTGTACATCCTCTGTCTTTAGGGAGTATCAAGTTGTTCCAAAAGCCAATTTATAATGGTCTGCTCTTAAGGAAGAATATGATTTTATGGTTAATATGTTTAGTGTGTGACAGAGAGACTGATTTTTATTGGCATGGGCACAGAGGGCCCAGGTTTGCACTCACTTCATCAATGCAAGGTTCTGCTGCAGGCTTTGGGATGTTCTTTGTGGCAAAGGAAGGTGAGGAGAAGAAAATAGAATAAAAAAACCCCTGCTCTTGCTGGACATGTCTCATGGGGAATCCGTGCTGAGCTGTGTAGGTGTGGGTGCTGCTGAGTTTGGGGTGATCCTGGGCTGGTGGAGGGAGGGATGTGGAGGTGTAAAGGTGAGGAATCACAGGGAGGATATCGAGGGGGAAGTGGATGCAGTGTCTGGTTGTGGTGCAGCTGCACGAAATGCAGCTGAAAACTCCAGGTCAGAGAGGTCTGAAGTGATCTGGAAGGTGGGGTCAAGAACAAGTGACAGGAAAGTGTTTCACCCTGGAAATACTGGGATGATCTCCCCAGGGAAGGGGTGGATTCTATCCCAGGCTGCTCCAAGCCCCGTCCAGACTGGCCTGGGACACTTCCAGGGATCCAGGGGCAGCCACAGCTTCTCTGCCCAACCTGTGCCAGGGCCTGCCCACCCTCCCAGCCAGCAATTCCTTCCCACTCTCCCATCTCTCCCTGCCCTCTGGCAGTGGGAAGCCATTCCCTGTGTCCTGTCCCTCCATGCCTTGTCCCCAGTCCCTCTCCAGCTCTCCTGGAGCCCCTTTAGGCCCTGCCAGGGGCTCTCAGGTGTCCCTGGAGCCTTCTCTGCTCTGGTTTGTGTGGGAAGCAGTTCCCTCACGAGGACACCACAAAATCCCCTCCCAGGAGCTCTGTGGGTGCAGTTTGGCTCTGGGGTTGGTGTTTTAGTTCCATCTCCTCCGTGTGATGTCACACAGACAGTTTAATTTGCCTCCCATGACGTCCGGAGTTGTCCCCAAAGAATGTCCCTTGACTGCCCCAGTCCTGTTGGGAATGGCCAACTTGAAGATTTTAATCAGTGCCAGCTCTGATTTGAAGTAGCTATTGATTAAACCTTAAACCAGTTTAATTCATCAGAGAAATGCTTAATTTTATTTCTAAGTATTTGCTGCAGCAAGGGAAGAAATTCATCTTCAATCTTTTCTGGCTGAGTAAGGTTGCAAGTGCTTGTCTCCAAATTGCTAGACCGTTATAATTGGATTTTCTTACTGAAATGTAGGTTGAAATTAGCTCCTGTGTGAGGAGCATCCACTCCTGAGCAGAAACATCATGATTTTGTAGAGAGGAATCATGGCTTGAATGTGATGCCACAGTTTAGTGTTGGATTCTGCAAAGCAAAGCCCTTGAGAGGTGGTCCCAGGGTGGGGGGAGAGGATTGGGAAGCAGCAGTTCAGGACTAGCAACCAATATCTGTGAAAATTTGCTGGGTGAAACGCCTGTGAACATCTCCCTGTGCCTCAAATCTGTGCTCAGAGCAGGAAACCTTGATTAGATTCTTTAGGTGAGACCACTGGTTGTTGTTGCTGCAGTTCAGCCCAGATAAAGGAGGGTAGATGGTTTTATTTTGGGGTGTTCACGTCTAATCCATTTGTCCTGTGGGATGCACTGCAGGAAAATGTGTGGGATTGACACAGTTGAGGGAGCCCAGTGTTAGGTCAGCTCTGCTTTTCCTCAGCAGCCCATCCCAGGCTGGTCCCTGTGTCCCCCCTCTGGAGCAGAGCCCACCCTGCAGAGCCTGGGATGCATTTTCTCCTTTAACAGCCAGGGCTGCCCAGGCATGGAATTGGTCTCGTGGTGTGGAGCAGGTCAGGAATGGGCATTCCTGTGTTTGCTGCTCTTGGCCTGACCAGGTGTGAGGAACAAAGTTCAGCTTTCACACTTCCCCTGGAGGGAAATGTGGGAATGAGGCTCTGGGTCCGGACTGAGGAGTTGGAAGAGGTTGTGGAATCACAGACAGCAGCAAGAGAACTTTAATTATAGTTTCATTGCTAAAACTGAGCCCTTAATGATTAAACTGTTGGGCTTGGTTTAGTTTTTTTAGGGGATGGGCTGTGAGATGAGCTGGGAGGTTCTTTCCTGGGAAGGTGATGAAGGCCCTGGCACAGGTTGGGCAGAGAAGCTGGGGCTGCCCCTGGATCCCTGGGAGTGTCCAAGGCCAGGTTGGGTGGGGCTTGGAGCAACCTGGGACTGGTGGAATGTGTCCCTACCCATGGAACAAGATGAGCTTTAAGGTCCTTCCCACCCAAACCAGTCTGTGACTCTGGTTCTGTGAAAACCCTGGTGCAAACCTTGCTGCTCCCACGATTTGCCCATATCCAGTGGGAAGAACGGGAATAGGGAGAGTTGTGCTCTGTTTTCGTGTCCCTGATCACGGGAAACATGTTTTCCTGCCATTCCAACAGCTGCACTGACTCCATGTGTATTCATAAGGTGACAGCTGGTGGCTGCAGGAATGAAAACAGGGATTGTGTGAGTTAACAATCAGTGAGCATTGTACAGTGCAGGGGGGAGGGAGGGAGCCTGTGAGGAATGGGAGACTGATCCATCAGTTCTTCAGCATGGGCTGGATTTCTGAATAGGAGAAATCAGTCTGTGAGTCACAGTTTGGTTTCAGTGAGGGGTTGTATCTGTTGTGTGCCCACAGTCCCTGGGCAGGGGCTCTGAGGCGTGGTGGGGGTACAGGCTGTGGGGAGCTGTGTCCTGGAGCTGGGGAAGGGGCTGAGGGAGCTGGAGGGGCTCAGCCTGGAGAAAAGGAGGCTCAGGGGGGACCTTCTGGCTCTGCAACTCCCTGACAGGAGGGGGGAGCTGGGGGAAGTTGGGCTCTGCTCCCAGGGAACAGGGACAGGAGGAGAGGGAACGGCCTCAGCTGTGCCAGGGGAGGGGCAGGTTGGATACTGGGGAAATTCCTTCCTGGAAAGAGGTGTCAAACCCAAAGAGGTTGATGAGCACCAGGGGCAGAGCAGGACCTTGCCCAGCCAGGAGTGAAGTGGAACTCAGGGTATGGATCAGTCACCTGTGGCTGGGTTGTGCTTGTTTTCCACTGCACTTCCTGCAAATGGGAATGGCTCTGAGAGCAGGAATAGTGATGGTTCATCCACTGTGTGCTCGTGTTCTTACTGATCTTTGCTGTTTAACTTCTGGAGTGAGTCAGAGACCTGGGAATATTGGTGTGAGGCAGTTCAGTGAGAACTAATCGATGTCTCACTTCCTCCAGAGGGTTGGTAGAAGCCAAACCTTCCCATGCAGAGCAGCCTCACGTCACAGCAGTCAGCATTTCGGTCCCTGTGTCTCCAGTTTGCCTCCTCCCTTCACCTCCATCCTCCTCAACCCCCTGCAGGTTCCCCTGGGGCGCTGCCGTGGCTGCTTCCTGGGCCCTGTTCCCGTTGTTTTTAAGGGCTGTTTTAAAGATTAACCCACCTCTCCCCGTGGCTCTGCCGTGTCTGGGGCAGGTGCAAGACGAAGGTGTACCCCGAGGAGCTGCCCAACACGAGCGTGGTGATCGTGTTCCACAACGAGGCGTGGAGCACCCTGCTGCGCACCGTGTCCAGCGTCATCAACCGCTCGCCCCCGCGCCTGCTCCGAGAGATCATCCTGGTGGACGACGCCAGCGAGAGAGGTGGGGCTGCCACGCACCCATGCCCGTCCCAGGGCTTCTCCTGGAGCCAGCCTGAGGGTCCTGGGAGGGTCCCCTCCTGAGCAGGGGGTGGAGTGTGGCTGCCAGTGGGTGCTGCTCGGGTTTTGGTGTTTCTCGGGGGTTTTTTTTGAATGTACTTCCAGTTTTTTATCGTGTCCAGTAGTTGTGGCTGCCCCTGGATCCCTGGAAGCGTCCAAGGGCAGGTTGGGCAGGGCTTGGAGCAACCTGGGCTGGTGGAAGGTGTCCCTGCCCACGGACAGACGAGCTTTAAGGTCCCCTCCAACCCAGACCTTTCCACAATTCCATACAATGATGAGAAGCAGAAGTGTGGGCAGAGGTGGAGATGCTGACAGGGAGTGACAGGGGGTACAGGTGGCTCCTCAGGGTGTAGCTCATAAAATCCCAGACTGCCTTGGGTTGGAGGAGATGTTTAAAGGTCATCTGGTCCAGCCCTGCCACACAGGGAGGGACACCTTCCACCAGCCCAGGCTGCTCCAACCTGGCCTTGGACACTGCCAGGGATCCAGGGGCAGCCACAGCTTCTCTGCCCAACCTGTGCCAGGGCCTGCCCACCCTCCCAGCCAGCAATTCCTTCCCACTCTCCCATCTGTCCCTGCCCTCTGGCAGTGGGAAGCCATTCCCTGTGTCCTGTCCCTCCATGCCTTGTCCCCAGTCCCTCTCCAGCTCTCCTGGAGCCCCTTTAGGCCCTGCAAGGGGCTCTCAGGTTGTATCCAGAATTTCACCACAGCTATTTTTGCACTGCAGTTTAATGTTTCACATTCCTCTAAAGGTCAGTCCTTTTCCACATCTCTTCCTGTCTCTCAAGCCCCTCATTCTGTGATTCAGATTTTCCTGAACATCCAGACTGAGCCAATTTCACAGAATCCCAGGATGGTTTGGGTTGGAAGGGACCTTAAAGACCATCTCATTCCAACCCCTGCCTTTATTGCTCCTATTTGGGGTTCATTTCTTTTGCTCTTGGGTTTTTTTTCCAGTTCTTTTTTTAAACCCAGGCTTTAGAAAGAAAACTGTCTCCTGTGAAACTGATGTTACCTGGAAAAGGAATCACACAACGTTCTTTCAATGGAATCAATGGAATGATAAATTTTCCTGGAGTAGCCAAATGAGCCTAATGGCAAACACAACCTGGAACTGCAGCTGCTCCAGGGACAGAGGAGGATGCAGCGACTCCGTCCTTCAGTTCTGCCTCATGGAGCATTAACTTAACTCTAATTACTCTCCTGCATTTCCCTGCTCATTAAGTGGTTTAATGGTTCTCTGTTCCAGAAGGTGGAGGAAGATTTTAGCCAAGTAACTCTATTTTTTTCTAAAAGCAGCCGAAGAGCTCAAATGGTGAAATTCATCCAAAACGACCCCTTTTGTATCGAACCATTGGCGATTTGGCCAAAGTGTCTTTGTTTTGCACTCACTGTTTGCTGGGTTATCCCAAGAAATAATTGACTGTGATTTATTTAAAATTCCTGTGATTTTACCAGAGAACCCGAGAATGGGTTGGGCTGGAAGGGACCTTAAAGATCATCTCGTTCCAACCCCCCTGAGATGCTCCAGCAAGCCGGGGGTGGGCTGTGTGTCCTTTGGAGCCTTCAACAGCTGCTGAACCTCACTAAAAATCACATTTCCTCTCTGTTCCCCCCCCCCCAATTATATCTGACAGAGTTTCTGAAGGCCTCCTTGGAGAACTACGTGAAGACCCTGGAGGTGCCCGTGAGGATCATCCGGATGGAGCAGCGCTCGGGGCTGATCCGGGCGCGGCTCCGCGGGGCCGCCGCCTCCAAGGGCCAGGTCATCACCTTCCTGGATGCCCACTGTGAGTGCACCCTGGGCTGGCTGGAGCCCCTGCTGGCCAGGATCAAGGAGGACAGGTGAGGGACCCTGGCTCCAGGGACAGGGGGCTGCTCCGGGTTCTTCCCCGTGCCAGCAGGAGGGGCTGAGACAGCTCCCCGAGCTGAAGAGGAAGAGTTTGGTTCGGATCTATCAGATTATTCACTGATGTTGTATCAGAACCTGATTTCTAAATAAAAATGTGATGATATTCCCCAGGGTCTGGGTGGTCCCACCCCAATGGCAGCTTTCTCCTGCTTGCTACCAGGGACAGCTTCTTGTCTGTCTGACCTCCAAAACTCACTGCATTTGCACCCTTTTTTCTTCTCTTTTATTTTTTTCCCTTCTACCCCCCTTTTTTCCATATTTTTTTTTCCCCCCCTTTTTCTCCCCTTTTCCCTCCTTTTTTTCTTTCTTCCCCCTCCTTTCTCCAATTTTTTTCCCCTCTCACCTTTCCCTCTATTTTTCCCCTTTTTCTCCCCCCCTTTTTCTACCCACCCTTTTTCTACCCCCTTTTTCTACCCCCTTTTTCTCTACCCCCTTTTCTACCCCCTTTTTCTACCCCCTTTTTCTACCCCCTTTTTCTCTACCCCCTTTTTCTACCCCCTTTTTCCTACTCCCCCTTTTTCTACCCCCTTTTTCTACCCCCTTTTTCTACCCCCTTTTCTCTACCCTCCCTTTTTCTCTCCCCCTTTTTTCTCCCCCTTTTTTCCCCCACTTTCCTCTCCCCACTTTCTCTCCCCCTTTTCTCCCCCTTTTCTCCCCCCTTCCTTCTCCTTCTTTCCCTCCTTCTCTCCCCTTTTCCCTTCACTTCCCCCAAATCCCTGAACACCCCCCTGCTGACCCTGGAACCCCCCCCAGTCAGTGCCCAGCTCAAATCCAGCTGCCTTTTCCCGCAGGAAAACCGTGGTGTGTCCCATCATCGACGTGATCAGCGACGACACCTTCGAGTACATGGCGGGCTCCGACATGACCTACGGGGGCTTCAACTGGAAGCTGAACTTCCGCTGGTACCCCGTGCCCCAGAGGGAGATGGACAGGAGGAAAGGGGACAGGACCCTCCCTGTCAGGTGAGAGCTGCCCTGGGCCTGCTCTGTGTGTGCTTCCCTAGAGAACAGCTCCGAATTCCCAAAGTCCTCCCGGGATCACGGCAGGGAGTTGTGGGTAGCAAAGGGCAAACTCTGACCTGTCCTTAGTGCTGCAACAGAGCTGAGAAAAACCCATTTCACCTTCTCCTCACCGGGCTATAGTGCAAAATATCTCTGCTTGCTCAGCTCCCTCCCTTCAGATTTCTGCAAACAGCCTTTTTATTACATTTTTTAACCAAATATCACGAGGGGTTTCTGGGCGTTTTGGACGCTGAACCCCCTCATTCAGCTGTGATGATTTGCTCTTAAAGCTCCAGCTTCCTTAGGAAGTGGAACTGATGACTGTGCACCCTGAGTCAAAAATGATCTAAGAGCGTTTTTTTAATTACCTTCCCTCCCCCCAACCGGCTTTTAGCTGGGATTTTGGGGGATTCTGGGGTGTTAGTGAGCAGAGAGGGGGTGAGGGGTCAGGGGACCAAGTGCCACATGTGCCAACAGAATTGATTACTGTGCACCCTGAGTCAGAAATGATCGAAAAGCCTGTCCTGACCCCTTCCATTTAATTGCTGGAACCACAGAGTGGAACAAAACCTCTTCCCAAATTCTAAATGAAGCTGAAAGGGAACAAATTGAATAAATTACTGGTGAGGGGTTATTTGCTCAGCTCGAATGGCTTCTGTGGCTTCATGGGAAGTTCAGAAATAGATAAAAAAAAGGGTTTCTGAGTAGATGTAATGGTTTCAAACCTGTGGGAGATGGGATGGAGTGGGCAGAATTCCAATGCTGCACATTCCTGGAGCAGGGAGGGAGAAGGAGAGGCAGCTCAGGGAATGGTGTGTCCAGGTAAGGTAGGGATGGAGGGGCCAAAAAAAGCCTTTCACCATTAATTCTGCCAGAAAATGGCCAAAATCTGTCCTTGTTTGTCCTTCAAAGCCTGGAATGAGGGAAAGGTTGGATGTTTTAGGTTTTATTCTCAGGAAGAGTGAGGAGGGTTGCCAGGAAGTCGTGAATGGAGGGAGGGGCTGAAGCTATTTTGGAGTCAGGAGAACTGTTTTTCTCAGGATCTAAAATATTCTCCCTGGGCTGTGAATTCAGGCAGCAGCTCCTTGATTAAAGCTCAGGTGTGGGTGGAAGTTGGGAGAGTTAATTAATTACCCTAACGAGCTGCAGAGCCTCTCTGTGCTCCGTCCATCCCAGCTCTCCTGAATCCACTCGCACAGGGAGTTTCCAAAGAAAGGCAAATCCCAGTTTTTATTTCCTTCCCTTGAACTGGAGTAGGGCTCAAACTTAACCATCCTCCCACCAGCCTTTAGCTGGGATTTTGTGGGATTCTCCCCTGGGAGGGTGTTGGTGAGCAGAGTGGGGCTGAAGGGTCAGGGCCCAAGTGCCACGTGTGCCGTAATTGTCACTCACACAGGAGCTGCAGAGTGAAGAGGAGGCTCCTTGTGCTGGATTAAGGCCAAAGTGTTGGGGTTTAGTTTAGGCATTTCAGGCTCTCTGGTGTCAGAAGGATCCCAGGATGATGGAATCATTTAGGTTGGAAAAGCCCTCTTAAGACCATCGAGTCCCACCATCACCTCCACCGTGCCAACACCACATCAGAAATACCAGAAATTCCACAGCCAAAGAGTTGAGTTCTACCCTCAGGCTGTGCCAGGGGAGGGGCAGGTGGGACATCAGCAGGAATTTCTCCTGGAAAGGGTGGTCAGGCACTGGCACGGCTGCCCAGGGAGGTTTGGAGTGCCCAGCCCTGGAGGATTCCAAGGCAGGCCTGGCCGTGGCACTCAGTGCTCTGGGCTGGGGACAAGGTGGGGATGGGCACAGGGGGATCCATCCAGGGCTGGGAGGGCTTTTCCACCCTCAGGGATTCTGTAATTCTGTGAAAAAAATTACATTTGAGCTCAGTCACAAATAGTTTTGGTGGCTGCTGCCACTGGATATTCAAAAAATAGGGGTATAAAATCACCACCAGCCTAAGCCAGGCCAAAAATATAGAAGGAATTGGTGAGTTCATTTTTTTATTCCATGTTGATTTCCCTGTTCTGTAACATCATTTCAGCCTCGTGTTTTTATTCCTATTTTCCTTTGTAATCAGTGGAACAGGCAGAAAACACAAACCTCCTTGGGTAACCCCTGTGTGCATGTCTGTAAAACCATTGCTGCACTCCAACTCTGCTCTTTGGTAACTTAAAATCCATGTAATCTGCTCAAATTTCCTCTGAAGAATTTAGCTTCCATAATCACAGGGATAAATTCCCACCTTTGCTCTCTAGATTTAAAATCATAACACAGGCATGGTCACACCGAGGGTTATTTTACATGTGATTTATTATTTATGTGTAATTCGTATTGTTGGGGAAGTGTTTTTATGGAAAATTGAGGAAAGCTTAGTGAGAAGAGCTGGCTGGTGGGTCTGGATAGAGTTGAGCCATCACATTCCCTAAATTAACTCATTAACCCCAATGGAATTAAAGGCAGAAGGTGCTGAACTTGTGGAAAAGGGTTCCTGACTCTTCCCAGTCCGTGGATCTGAGCAGTGCTGGTGGATTTGCTGAGGGAGTTGCAGGAGCTGAGCAGTTCTCAGTCCTGTATTGGAATCTCTGGATTTGCTGGGAAGGGTTAATGAATTCCATGACTCTGCCGTTCAGCACAGCGGGGAGGGAGCTCCTGACATTCCTTAGAAAAATGGGATCCTTTGCCTTATTTTTAGCACAGGGAACGTGGGGATCCACAGGTGCTGCTCCTGCTGCTCAGGGATACCTTGGACAGCTCCTTTCTCATCCAGGATCCGTTCCTGGATGCTGTTCCTGGGCCCTCCAGGAGAAACCCCTGACTTACAGATTGTTCTGGGGACAGAGCTGCTCAGGACAAATCTTTCCCTGTCTGACACGTGTTGGGATCAGCTGGAACGTGTTTTTTTCCGGTGTATTTGCAGGAATGAAGTGGGAGCTGTGGCTCTGGGAGCACATATTCCCTGAGCCTTGGAGCGTGCAGGGATTGCAGGGCTCAGTGCGGGGCTTTGTGTCTCACTCTGAAGGTCCAGCAGCCCCCAGGGACTCGTGGCAGTGGGTTTATAGGTGTTTTTTTGTTTGGATACCAAAGTCTGTTCGCTGCTGTTTGGCTGCTCCTGAGGGTCTTACCTGTTTCCATGTAAATGCTGTAATTCCACTGTCACCGGAGTAACCTCCGGCTTTGCCACACTTGGAAATGAGCAGACCTCGTCAAAATGGGTTATTTTAGAGTGCAAAGCCCGTTTTTGCTGCTCAGGGAGCAAAACCTGGATGGTTGCCCTGGGCAGAGGTGGAGCCTAAAGCTGAATCTTCCCGGGGATGCTCCGGTGGCTGTCGGAAGGTCTGGGAATTCCGGGAGCGGAGCGGCTGCTCCTCGGGTGGGGCCGGTTCAGCTGGCAGAGCTCACGGGCAGTGCCAGCCAAACCCAGCCCTGACAACCCTTTCCTCCCCCTCTTCCCGCTGGGAAATCCTTGCCCAGCATTTGTACTCTGCAGAACGTCCTTTGCCTTTGAGGGGAGTCTTTTTTTCCTGCAGCAGCAGAGCCCTTGTCTGTGCTAGAGATCAGCTCCCAAACATCTCGTCTGACAGGGATTAAAAACATGAAGTGTTTCTGTGCTGGGCTTCTGCAGTCTCTGCTCAGCACATTTTCATGGATATTTCCATGCCTGCCCTTCAGGTTTTTAAGCTGGAGGCACTCCAGGCAAGTATTAGAAATACTAAAAATGCGGATTTGTCCTGGAAAATCTTTTCTCAAGTATAAATTAGATATTGGGAGGAAAAACACAAGATTAAATATTAGGAGTGTATTAGAATCATAGAATATCCTGAGTTGGAAGGGACCCACAAGGACCATCAAGTCCAATTCCTGGCCCTGCACAGGACACCCCAAAAATCCCACCATGTGCCTGAGAGTGTTGTCCAAATGCTCCTTGAACTCTTGGTATTGTGTTTATTTTCTTATAATTAAAAATGAAAACTTAATTATTAAACTTAGAGTTGACTGCAATTAATCCTGCCTGGGTGATGCACAGCAGTGGTTGAGACTGGTTTAAAAACCTTATTGCAGGAGAAATTCATAGTGGTCTTTTTTATTAGTGGTTTTGTGACTGTTGGAGCCCTTTGAGCAGTGCATGCCCAGGATGGGATTCCTTGTGGGATGCAGGGTGAGGTGATGTTACCTGGAATTTGGGAGCATCCCATGGCAGGAGTGGGGTCCCTTGGATGTCTCCTCCCATCAGGGTGTGCTGGGCTGGGCTGAGGCATCAGTGGGATGCAGCAAACCTGGGGTTTGTGTGGTGCAGGTCCAGGGGTGGGAATCCTGAGGGCTGCAGTAACTGCACAAGTGGGAAGCTGGGATGGTATCCAAAATCAGACTGGGTTCAGATGGGGATCAGAGTTAACCTGGAGCCATTACTGGGGTGGTCACTGTGACTGCAGTAGGTAAAGCAGAACTGGGAGATGTGGAACTGAGGAAAAGCTGTAGGAACCCTTGATCTTCCTGCCTTTGCTGCTGGGATGGGCTGAGCTGGTGTCACCTCCCCCACCTCAAAATCCTGTGTCACCCACTTGGCTGTTGGTTTTGAAGCTGAGGATGGAAACGTGGCTGATCCTTGATCAGGGATCCTTGATCCTTCCCTGGGAGGGTGGGCAGGCCCTGGCACAGGTTGGGCAGAGAAGCTGTGGCTGCCCCTGGATCTCTGGGAGTGTCCCAGGCCAGGTTGGAGCACCCTGGGACTAGTGGAAGGTGTCCCTGCCCATGGCACTGGATGAGCTTTAAGGTCCCTTCCAACCCAAACCCTTCCATGATTCCACGACACCTCAGTGTGCTGCAGGTCCTCCCCACCAACTCCCATGGATTCAGGAATGCTGAGAGCTCAGCAAACAGGGCTGGGACACATTTGGGCTGAACCTCCACCCTCTTTACCTGTACCCCCGAGTCTGAGTGTGGGGATGTTTTGTAGCTGGGATTTGGGATTTTGGGGGGGTGGGTGTTCCCTCACTCAGAGCTGTGCTCCTGCCAGCTGGGGTGGGCATTCCTCAGGAAAACACGGAGCAACCACGGACAGGGAAGTAGGACACCCTCACACAAAGGGAGCTGCACTCCCATGGATTTGCTGTTGTAAGGATTTATAATCCTGTTAGGAGAGATTAGGCCTGGTAATTTTATGCACATTTAGTCTGCTCTGAGGCAAAGCCGAGGCATTAAACTCCTCACTGAGCACTCCAGATGGGATTGGAGCTGCTGCTCTGCACGCAGGGGGCCAGCATTCCATCCACCTCACCACCACAGTGCTCCCAAATAACCTCTGGAATGCGATTGGACGGGTAGGGAATGACCCAGAGCTGTGGCTGGGACGGGACTGCCGTGGATTTTGGGGGAGAGCACAGAGAGCACAGGCAGATTGTCCCTTCACTCCTGGTGGCTTCTGTCCCAGCTGTGTGCATAGCAATGCTGTGTGCATAGCAATGCTGTGTAGTCCCGCTGTGGGAGGTAGTGAAATGTGCTGTAGTGTCGCTGCTCAATTCCACAGTGTCTTTCAAAAGGTATTTTTTCTTTTTTCTTTTCTTTTTCCCTTTTCTTTCTTTCTCTTTTTTTTTTTTTGTTTTGTTTTGTCGTTTTTGTTTCTTTTTTTTTTTTTTTTCTGTTTGTTTTCAACTAGGACCCCTACTATGGCTGGTGGCCTATTTTCTATTGACAGAAACTACTTTGAAGAGATAGGAACTTACGATGCAGGAATGGATATCTGGGGTGGCGAGAATCTTGAAATGTCTTTTAGGGTAATTGCTGTTTTCCTTCATTTTCTGTCCAAAAACCCCACAGTTGTGCTGTACCAGTTCCTACCCCACGCTCAGGGCGCTCTTAGGTGGCTTAATTTGAATTTCCAAGGATTTGGGAAACACCTCCTTGCAATATTTCCACCCTTTTTACTGCATGAAATATTTTAATGCTCTTTGGGGGGATGTTTATGCTTTCAAAATTATGTGTATTTTAGTAATTCCTTCTTACAAGAAACAAGTCTTCCTGTGAGCTGATACTGATGACAGATATTGATATAAATTTATATTTAAAACAATACAAATGTGTTTTAACAGAAGTTTTGGAGGTTGTGACATCATGAACTTGCAAGTTCTGGCTGGGATTTTTGGGGCTGTGTGAGGGAAATTCCCCATCCTGCAGAAAATCCCTGTATTCCTGCTGGGATAGGTGTGTTCCCATGGCATGGATAACATCTCTGAGGGAAATGCATTCAGTAACTGCCCTTTAGACAGACAGGAGAGCTGGAAAATGGGGGCTTTGATAAGTGGTGGTTGGAAGGGGTGTTGGAAATGGCTTTGAACTGCTCTGATGGGGCACAATTTACAGTAATTCCGGGCAATAACCCCTGGGATTGCTGTCTGGGACCCACAGCACGTCCTGGAGAGGCCCTTTGTCCCCTTCTTCTGTCTTTGCTGTTCAGCCAGGACCATTTCCCGTGACAGAAACCCCTTGGAAGGTTTTGATGAAGGAGGTATTTCTGGACAGGACCAACTGAGAATTTAAAGGCATTTTTGGGCCATTTCTCTCAACTTTATTCGTTCACTTTGCAGCAAAATCAAAGGGTTGAGTTACTTCTGCTGAGCCTGAGTGTTTTAAATGAGGAATTTTAACATTTTTCGGTGTGCAGACCCCTAAAACACTCCTTGGTTGTAGGCATAAAAAAGATAATCCCTGAAAGCCCAACTCCAACACAAAGGGATAAACAAAGGAGGTTTTGTAAAGGGTCTGTATTGGAGAATATGGGGTGGGGGGAATATGGCAGGGGGTTGGAGTTTTAGGGTCCCTTCCACTCCAAACCACTTTGGGATTCTGGGGTTCTGTAAATGCGTGGTATGATACAGAGCAGGGATCATTTATCCAGCTTCCAGCAAATGGTAAAGAAATGACCTAAATGGGACATTCCTAATTCCTGCTCTTGTTTGAATAATGGTCACGTGTTTTGGGAAGCTTTCCCGAGGAGCTGAGCAGTTTAGTGGGGTTGTTTTGTCTTCCCCTGGTGCTGCTCTGCTCTGCCCTCTGGCACTGGGAAGCCATTCCCTGTGTCCTGTCCCTCCATCCCTTGTCCCAAATCCCACCCCAGCTCTCCTGGAGCCCCTTCAGGCCCTGCAGGTGCAGTGGGGTCTCACCTGAGCAGGGCAGAGGGGCAGAATCACCTTCCTGTTGGTCACGTTGCTTTTGTTTTCCTTACATATATATATATATATGTAAATATATATGAAGGAAAACTTTCCCTTCCCTAAATAACCATTGCCAGAGCCCTGTTTCAAACTGCACCTGAATTCTATTCAATGTTTCTCTCAGTGAGCCAGAAATGGGCTTAACTTCTATAAATTCAGTGAGAACAGCAGCATGAAGATCTTCATTTCAGCTTTAAATTATAAATCTTAGTCCCAGATACGTGGAGGGACAAAGACCAACAATATCTGTGCTCTCCACAGAAATCCCAGGGGATAAAGGCAGGGCAGCAGCTCTGCCCTTGCTCTGATAATCAGAAGTAGAAGAATATAAGAAGAATGCAAGACTATAATAAGAATGTAATCAGAATATAAAATACTTTTTGAGGCTGAGGGGAGGGTAGCAAGAAGACACGAATTTTGAGGCATGAATTTCATATCAGAGAATGTGATTTTATGTTTCCAGAAGGTTTTCCCACTTAAATTTAAGGAACCATTGCCAGCCTGGAATATTTGCATGGCCTAAGAGAGGGCTTGGTGTTAAGAGTAGAAACAAAATGACTAAAGTGATGAATTTCCAGCCCTGGGATATTGCCATGGGAGGGCCAGGGAACTTCCTGGTGCTGTTTATTGGAATTACTGATTGCAATTAATTGATTGAAATCAAATATTCAGGTGCATTGAGTCCTGCTGGGTCAATGACAGAAAAGGTATTTAAGACCCCCCTGATGACACATCTGCAGGAAATTGGGAGCAGAGAGAACTGAGGGCTTGGGGAGGTTCCTCCAGCTCCAAACCTGCCATTATCCAGCAGGATACCTCTGGAATATCTCATGGAAAACAGGAGACCCTGTTGGGATTTGGAAAATGTCTGTAGTGGGGTTGAGCCATCAGGGTGTTCCTGGAGCTCTTTTTATTTTGGGGGTTTTATCATCAAATGGGAGGGGGGAGTTTTGATGTTGGTCCAGATACCCCAAACCCCCTGTTTTGTGAATCCCTGAATCCTCTAAAGCCTCTCCCTCCCTGGATCACATCCAGGGTTCCATCCCCTGGACCATCTCATCTGCCAGCAGCAGTGACAGCATCCCAGAACAAATGCCATTATCCCAAACATCAGCATTAAAAAGATTTGCAGCCCTTTTTGGGCCCCCAGGAATTTTGAGGATGGCTCTGGAGCAGCATCCACAGGGGATAATTTGATTATTTCTGGGCAAATCAATATTTTGGCTTTTTGCTGTGCTGCTGCTCGCTGCTGATTGCTCTGTAATGAGCCCTTTATGGGATGTCTTTTAATAAAGGCAATTGGAAAAAAATAATAATAGTCCTGGCAGGAATCTCTTCCAGCTCCGAGAGTCTGATTTAATCATGAAAACTTCATTTGTTCTTAAGCCTTATTTTTATTTATAGAATTCCCTAAACATTTTTAATTTTCTGTTGTGTTCTCTAAATGTTTTTTCCCAGTTGGAGAATGCCCTGAGAACTTGCTACTCAGAAAGGAGCTCATGTGGCTTGGGGAAGGGTATTAAAAATAATCTCTGCATCAGGAAAAAAAAGATTATTCTTTAGAATAATCCAAGTAGGCCAAAGCAGGGCTGGGGGAAGGAAATGTGTGCTCTGACAGGGGTAAGATGAGGTTTATTTGGGATTTCTAGCAGCTGCTGGAAGTGCAGAAGAGGACATGGGAATGTGGATTTGCTCAGGGATGTGACAAGTTCTTCTTGGGCTCCGAAGTTTCTGTTTGACTGTTATGGGAGTTCTTCCAGGAAATGAGTAAAGGGCAGGGAGGGTTAATCCACTTGTGTCTTGGTGTAGTGTTCAATTCAAATGTTTCTTGATGGAAATACTGATGGGCTGGATCCCTCTGCTCTGGAGCCAGGCTGGGACAGCTGGGGGGGTCACCTGGAGAAGAGAAGGTTCCAGGGACACCTGAGAGCCCCTGGCAGGGCCTAAAGGGGCTCCAGGAGAGCTGGAGAGGGACTGGGGACAAGGCATGGAGGGACAGGACACAGGGAATGGCTTCCCACTGCCAGAGGGCAGGGAGAGATGGGACAGTGGGAAGGAATTGCTGGCTGGGAGGGTGGGCAGGCCCTGGCACAGGTTGGGCAGAGAAGCTGTGGCTGCCCCTGGATCCCTGGAAGTGTCCAAGGCCAGGTTGGAGCACCCTGGGCTGGTGGGAGGTGTCCCTGCCCATGGCAGGGGTGGCGCTGGATGGGATTTAAGGTTCCTTCCCACCCAAACCATCCTGGAATTCTATGGATGCTTTCCCAGGTACAGCAGATCAGTAACAGCAATCTCACCCTGCCTGTGTGTGAGGTCTCACCTTCAGCTGCAGAATTCCAGGTGTAGGAGAGCACTGGAACACATGGAAATAACCAGTTTTATCCCAACCCCTCCTCTGGATTTTGGGATCCCAGGGCTGTGTGGGCTTAGTTGGGTCCCGGGGCTGGTTCGTGCCTGGGAGGTTATTTTGGAAGTCCAGTGTGACCTTGGAATTAATTCTGCATGTTGGGGAGTGGAATTTGGGGAATATAAATCCCTAATCACCTGGCAAGCAGATGGAAAAGCTCTCTCTGTGCTTGTCAATATTCCTCAGCTGTGTGAGTGCATTAACTCATTGGAGGAGCTCAGTTTGCTCACAAATTGTACTTCAAATGTGTTTGTGTGCTTGCATTTTTCCCTTTCTTTGAGCTGCATTAATTTTCTCTCTGTCAGGATTCTTAGGATTCCACAGGGAAAATACTCAAGATGCACCAGTTCAGCTGATTTCATTATAGAAATTTTTGTCATTAGGTTTTTGAGGATGTTTTTCTCCTGTTCATTATTTACACATCATGCATTCCAGGGGCTGTGTGCAGAACAGATCCCTGAAATCCCACAGTCCTCTGTCAGGATGGGAACCTGTGGAAAGCAGTTGCTTTACATGGGAGTATCCAGGAAAGTTGCTTTGTCTGAGTTTCTTGAATAACATTGAAAAAGGTCCTTTTCATAAGAAGAGGGTGCAGATTGAGCCACGCTCCTGTTCCAGCTGTCACAGGGAGCAGGTGGCACCAAGGAGAGCCAAAAAAGTGCTTTCCAAGTGTCCAGGAACAGGTGTTAAAGAACAGTGGTGTGGGAGGAATTTCCTGCCAGGGAGAGCAGCAGAACTGGTGGGGGAGTTGTGTGTCCTCCTTGCTGAGCTGCCCAGTTCCTCCCAGCTGCTCTGTGAGTGCACCAGTTTGGGTATTTTGGGTTCATTCCGTGGCTTCCTGGGATCCATCAGCCCAAGGTCCCACCTGAGCCACCCGAGCAGCCAAACAGGGTGTCAAACACAGGGATACTGGGATGCTGTCCTGGCTGATCCCACAGAGCCACATCGCTCCTCATGCTAATGAAATTAGGGGAGAGGAGGGAGCCCTAATTAAATCAAATCTGCATTAGGTTGCCATGGGAACTCAGGTCCGTGTCAAGGAGCTCTAATTACAAGACTTCACCAATGTTCCTGCTCAAACCACCCAGTGGCTCCTAAACTTGGTGGTTTATCACCAGGAGGGGCCTGGTAATGAAGAATGAAATTTTATATATATTTATATATAAAAATGGGTATGTATAATATATATTATACAAATATTATATACAATGTAAACATCATGTAGTTTATATACAATATATAGTATATAACATAAATATATATTATTGTTGCATATTATATTCTCATATGTAATATGTGTAATATATTTATATGTATAACATATATATAAAATATATATTATATAAAATATATGTTTATATAAAATATATAATATAAAATATATAATATATTATATATAAACATATAATATATAAAATATATATAATATATAATGTATAAAAATATATATAATATATATTATATATAAAAATATATATAAAATTTTTTGTATCTGTAAAAGTTCTTCCCTGTTTCTCTAAACATGAAATACCAGAAAATCCATAGCCTGCATTCCTCCCTTAGAGGCTGTCCCCTTTCTCCGTGGGATGAGGCCAGAAAGCCAAGTGACCCCTTCCCACCAGTGTCCCCCATTTCACTGCCACCCACAGCTGTATCCCTGCAGTTTCCATAAACCCTTCCCTTCAGATTCCCTGTTGAGTTTTGGCCCCTGGAGATCGGTGGGTTCCTGTGAGTGCCCCGTGCAGGGTGTGTCTGACCCCGGTTCTCCCGTCCCCTCTCAGATCTGGCAGTGCGGGGGCTCCCTGGAGATCGTCACCTGCTCCCACGTGGGACACGTGTTCCGCAAGGCCACCCCCTACACCTTCCCGGGGGGCACGGGCCACGTCATCAACAAGAACAACAGGAGGCTGGCAGAGGTGTGGATGGACGAGTTCAAGGACTTCTTCTACATCATCTCCCCGGGTAGGGCGTGGATTCCTTGGCCTTGCGGTCTGTGGTGCTGAGAAGTGGAAGTGTGAGGTGTGGACGTGTCGTGGAGCCATGGAATGGTTTGGGTGGGAAAAGCCATCTTAGATCACTGGAGTCCAACCAGCCCCCAGCACTGCCCAGGCCATCACTGACCCCTGTCCCCATTGCCACATCCACAGGGCTTGGAAATCCCTCCAGGGCTGGGCACTCCACTGCCCTGGGCAGCTGTGCCAGGGCTGGACAGCCCTTTCCAGGAGAAATTCCTGCTGATGTCCCACCTGCCCCTCCCCTGGCACAGCTGGAGACCATTCCCTTTGAGATACAATAAATATAGAGCTGGAGAGGGACTTGGGACAGGGGTCTGGTTTTTCTGTGAAGAAAAACCACCATTCCCTTCTGAAACGAGCCCAAATCTGGTGTTTCTAAACATGCCCTGCCATCTTTACAGTCACACATTCCCACGTTTGCCCAAGGTTTTGATACAAAATTCCAACAGAGAACCCCTGGAGACGATTTCATTGAAAGAAAAGAGTGAAATTAGGTCAATAAATATAGGTGGTCTTGGTATTTTCTGCTCTCTTTTGAAGTGATTTATTAATATGCTGTATTAATTGAGAGATAAAATGAGATAATTATGTTCCCCAGGATTAACAAGCAAATGGAGGAGAAAAGATTTAGCAAACAAAATTACTATTCTAACTGAAAACTCTCCATAAAAATGCATAGGAAATAGTAGATTTTTTTTTTTAATAGGTCATTCCTAAAGATCAGAAATTGTCCCCAATATTTTTAATCTGCTTTCTTATCCTTTCCCCTTCGTTTATTAATCAGAAAAAGAGAGATCTGTGCATAATTCTGCTTGAGAACAAAGCAAGTTGCAATGTTAGTAATTAGGTCTCTGAAGCTGTTATCCATCAGCACAGGCTCATCTTCCCACTCCTCCCCTGGGACCTGATTAATTGGATTCCTTAGCTGATATCCCAGGAGAGAGAGGAGCCAGTGGTTCTTCACCAGTGAAGAGTATTAAATATCTCTCTCAGCATAATTAGGGTGCACACCTAATAATTAGACTCCAAATTAAAATTTGATCAATAGACCTGCTTGTAAAAACAGAGCTCTGCTGAAGAAGAGCCCATCTGAAATTTTTGGGGGGGCCTTGCACGTTTTTTTAAACTGATGCCTTCCCTTGTCCTAAGGGTAGGGAAAACCTCTTTATTTCTGGGCCTCTGGAATGTGGCCATGGATGTACTCCCTGTTTGTTGCCACGTGCTGAGATGAGTCAGGAACTTGAACTTTTAATAAATCCAACCTAGACTGAAAAAAGGAAAAGGGGAAAAAAGAAATCCCCAAATATCCCTGCAGTGAGGAACACTTGTCTGCTTGGTTTAGTGGAACACTGCATTGACAGGGAGTTTTGGGTTTTCCTTGGAGCCTGGCTCGGAGCTGCAGCTCCAGCCACGAGCCAAACAATTCAGGAGGGCTTAAAAAACCCTCAGAAATGCTGGATACGCTCAAACGGGATTAAAGGAAAGCCCCTTTCTTAGGAAAGAAAGGAAAAGGAGGAATTTGCTCTGTGAAACAGGAGCTGGTGTGTGGCCCTGCCCCAGCTGGAGTCGGTGATTGGAGCCGTGGAGTGTTTGGGATGAGGTTAAAATGGTCCTGGGAGGTGGAAATGGGAGGGATTTCCCTCCTAAATCAGGACAAACCCTGGCAATTGTCTGGCTGCAAAAAGGGTTTTTCCCTGTCTGCTGGGGAAGGCACCGTGCCCAGAGGGGAATGGAGATCCCCATCCTGGAGATGCAAAATGTGCCCAAAATATTCCTTTGTTTTCAGCAATCCTCTCTCCTTCCCCCATATCAGGGATTTATTGGCATCTCTATTAAGTCACCAAACCATAGCAAACCCCTCATATGGATAAAGTTTTCCAAGTGTTAACTTGTAAATATATAAAACAATTCTCAGTTCTTCAATTTCACTCCAGATGATTTTTTTTCTCCACCTTCACCATCATGAATCAATCTCTCCTCGCTCAGAAATGGCACATTTTGCCAAATTTGGAACTGTGCCCTGGTCTGCCCATTTTTTCAGGATGTGCCTCTTAGGGGAGGAAAAAAAATCAGGTGTAAATACAAGCCAGCAACCGTTTAATTTGTGCTGCAAACACATCTGCTGCTCCCTGGAAACAATCTGCTGCTTCCCTGAGATGCTTTAAATCCATCCTTTCTGCAGCTTCCCCTGGTGTTTCATTCCTTTGTTGCACCCAAGGACGTTTTCCTTACGTTTCCTTATTTAAGTGGGAGCAGACTTGAGTCATTCCTTATTTTTATGTTTCCTGTGAGTCCCATCGATTATTCAGCAAGTGGGGACAATAAATAGGGATTGATTTATAATGGCCTGGCTTTAAATGGAGCAGGAGGGAATAGAGAGGGTTGCTGGGATCCATAGAAATGAGGTCCTTGCTGGGAGGCAGAGCAGGGGGTGTGTGCAAGTTGGTGCAAGGTAAGGAGAATATATATATATATAAAATAAAGGAGCTTTGGGATCAGGGAATGCTATCCATGTGCATTTAGGCAAGAAAGGGAAGACTCCTGGAAGAGAAAGGGGGCTGATGCCCAGTGCCAGACTCAGCAAAACCTCCCCATCTCAACATCTGTTAAAATGGAAAACCAGGATTTATTTTGCTGGAGTTTGTTTAATTACAGAAATCTAAGTGTGAAGTTGAGTTGGATTGAATTTCAGGGCTGAATATTTCCACTTGCTGAAGTTTATAATGTCGTGTTTGCCCAGAGCCTGAGCAAGTGCCACCTAAATTCCCTGGCACCACACAAGAACATTGGGCTCCTGAGGGGCTTTTGCTGATCCAAAGCTGGTGGAGCATCAGTTGCTCCTGGCCATTGTCAGCAGCATAAAGTGCTTCCAGGAGCACTTGGATTTAGCCTGGAGCAAGAACTGGCAGCTGTATTTCAGTTAATTATCTAGAATTCCATCACCTCCTACAATTACACAGAGATACATTAACCTGGTTTGTAACCAGCACATATTTGGAAATGTGGGTATGAGTGAGGATCCAAAAGGAGGGGTTTGGGTAGTAATGGACACTCTTACTGTGGTTTGTACTGAATTTCTCTAAAAATTACCATCACCCTCTTCTTCAAGGTGTGATTTCCTGTCAGAATATTCTGCTATCCTTGGAGCTTCACTCGTGTGAAGGTTTCAGAGTAAGATCCCATAAATAACGGGAAGTAGAAGATGATGGAAATGCAGGGTGGATTTCAGAGATGAATCTGGGAGTGTTGTCCAGCCTGTTCCACTTCAGGGCTGGGAGCTGCTGCTGCTTTGCCAACCCTGATTGGACCACAGCCCTCTCCAAAATGAGATTTAATTGGGCTACAGGGAATTTTGGACTTGCTTTTGGTTCACTTGGAAGTGTCCAAGGCCAGGTTGGACAGGGCTTGGAGCAGCCTGGGCTGGGGGAAGGTGTCCCTGCCCACGGAAGGGGATGGATCGAGGTGAGCTTTAAGGTCCCTCCCAAGCCAAACCATTCCATGAGTGTGGGATTCTCTGATGGTTTACTGGGATTTTGCTCAGCTCTTCTCTGGCTGTTCCAGGTGTGGTGAAGGTGGATTATGGAGACGTGTCCGTCAGGAAGGCCCTGAGGGAAAGCCTCAAGTGCAAACCCTTCTCGTGGTACCTGGAGAACATCTACCCCGACTCCCAGATCCCACGGCGCTACTACTCCCTGGGAGAGGTACGGGATGGGCACGGGGACACGGGAAACGGGAATGCAGGGAACCAGGAGGGTGGGAAACAGGGAATGCAGGGAACCAGGAGGGTGGGAACAGGGAATGCAGGGAACCAGGAGTGCAGGGAAATGGGAATGCAGGGAACCAGGAGTGCAGGGAAATGGGAATGCAGGGAACCAGGAGTGTGGGAAACTGGGAATGCAGGGAACAGGGAATGCAGGGAAATGGGAATGCAGGGAACCAGGAGTGTGGGAGACAGGGAATGCAGGGAACCAGGAGTGTGGGAAACAGGGAGTACAGGGAACCAGGAGTGTGGGAGACAAACCGGGAATGCAGGGAACCAGGAGTGTGGGAAACAGGGAGTGCAGGGAACCAGGAATGCTAGGAAACAGGGAATGCAGGGAACCAGGAATGTGGGAGACAGGGAATGAATGCAGGGAAGCGGGGATACAGGAAACCAGGAGTGCAGGGAACCAGGATTGCTGGAAACAAGGAATGCAGGGAACCAGGAGAGCAGGGAACCAGTAAGCAAAGGAAACCACTGAGTAAAGGAAACCAGTGGCACAGGAAAGCAGTAAGTGCAGTAAACCAGCCAGTGCAGGAACCCAGCAACTACAACACTAACTCACCATCCAAATTTATCTCTGAAATGGAGCAGTGGACGGGAAAAGTGAGGTTTGGGACTAATGTTCTGACATAATGAATATGCAGCAGTCCAAGGGGACTTTCCATCATCCCTTATTGTTCAGAAAGAGGCTAAAAAAAAAGGCTTTTTGGGGGCTTTTTTAAAAAAGAAGTATGTTTGTTCATTGAGTGTTTCCCAGCCAGGCTGCCTGGAGCTGAGGATCACAGACATTCCTAATAATGCCATGGGTTTATAGCACCAGGAGCTGAAATCTCTTTAAAATTCAGCTAATTCACTGCTAAAAATGCTCTATTGAGTTGTACCTACGCTGACTTTTAAAAGCTCTTGAATGGGTTGATTTAAGGGTAGAATAACAATCAAACAAAAAAATGGCTTTTTTTAACACCCAGGAAAGTAATTTCCCATTGAAACTTGCCTTTGTAGTGAGAAATAAAAGGCACTGTTGGGTTCCCAGTGAAATTATGGCAAAATAAAGTGAAATGTGGGTTTACAGCGAGGAAAGAACTCGTCTAACAAGTGTCAAATAACGTGGGTTTGTGCCACATTGTCAGGCTGCAAAATAGAGCTGGGAGAAAGTCATAAAACAGTTATTAAAACACCTGATTTTTGCCAAGGTGGCCTCAGTTTCCATGGAAACAGCAGCTCAGGGGCTGGGAATTCAAACTCCTGCCTGGCTGTTCCAGCAGCTGCCGGCAGAGCAGGAAAGGGGATTTTGAGCCCCAAAGCAGCAGGAATGGGCAATTTCTGAGCCATCAGAAGGGCATTTTTCAGTCATTTTTCTCCTTTTCAGTGGAGACTTAGGCAGGGTTTGAAGCATCCCACCTGGCAGGGCAGCAGGGGGGTGACCAGGCTCGTCCTCAGCTCAGATCCAGGGAAAAATGATGCTCCAAACTCACTCTGGAGTACAGGGCAACCTAAATAAAAGGAGGGTCCAATGAGATTTCCCTCAAGTGCTTTTCACACTTAATATGTAGTTTAAAAAACTCATGATACTCTTATTGTATTTATTGTCACCTCCTCTGGGTAATGTGATGTATTTACAATTTTCAATGAATAAATGCATTAAAATAAATCAATACCTATATTTGAATGCACAGAAAATGTACTTTCTGCCATAGAAATATAATTTTTTTCTGCACAGACATGGCATTTACAGACATTTCTTTCAAGGAATGTTTGACCTCTTTTCTTCCCTCAGATCAGGAATGTTGAAACCAACCAGTGTTTGGACAACATGGGCCGCAAGGAGAACGAGAAAGTGGGGTTTTTCAACTGCCATGGAATGGGAGGAAATCAGGTAAAGCAGGGAAAAAGAGAGGAAAGGTGTGGTTTTTGTACAGTAATTGGTTCAGGGTGGTGTGAGAGCTGGAATGTTACCCAGGTAGGGCTGGGGGCTCATCCTGGGGACCCTCACTGGTCCTTAGCTCATTATAAAAATATGAGTGAAAAATAGCTGTGTAATTTTTATATTAAAACATAGTATTTTACAGAAACATTTTTAGATTTTAAAATATCTTTAAAATATTTTAAAATATTAATACTTTAAAATATTTAGAATATTTAAATTCTATTTTATACATAACTAACGTAATCAACATCCCAAAATGTTTTGGATTTGGGTCAGAAGAATTTTAGGAGGACTCAGCTATTTCTTTGAGCCATTTATTTTATCTTTCTCTATTTTATTTTATCATCTTGGCCATTTCATATAATTCCAGCTCTTGAGTTGTGTCTCTGATATCTGGAGTGTTTCTGTGGGTTACAGTGGATCTCTCCCAGTTTCCCTCCTTGGTGCTGAGCACCAGGACAAGGGAATTCCTGCCACTGCTGGTTGGGGGTTGAGGCAACAGCAGAACAGGTTTTATGTGAATTGTCCAAAATGTGAAGGTTGTGCAGCCCTGGCAGAGGCTGGAACCCCATCCCTGGGGGAATGTTTTACCTGTCACACTGGAATGTGTGAAATCCATTCTTTAATTAGCTATAAAATGCAGGGTGTCCTCACCCTCTATTTTTAGGTGGCATTAATATCATCGTCTCTGTAATTAGTATGGGTGGGACCAAAGCCAGCCTGGGAATTCTACATCAGCCTAATTAGCATTCACTTTTCTTCTTGTCATGGTGACTTCTCCAAACCCAGCTTCCCTAATTGCCAGTTCAGACATCACTTATCCCTGGAATCAGAGATTCCCAGAACGGGTTGGAAAGGACCTTAAAGCTCATCCCATTCCAACCCTGACACCTCCCACTGTCCCAGGTTGCTCCAAGCCCCATCCAGCCTGGCCTTGGACACTTCCAGGGATGGGGCAGCCAGGCAGTTTGGGGTTTTGTGAGCCCCTGTCCCTCCCTCCCTGTGTTCCAGGTGTTCTCCTACACCGCCGACAAGGAGATCCGCACGGACGATCTGTGCCTGGACGTGTCGCGCCTCAACGGGCCCATCCTCATGCTGAAGTGCCACCACATGAGGGGCAACCAGCTCTGGGAGTACGATGCCGAGGTACCTGGGGGCTGGGGACAGCCCAAGGGATGGGGGTGTCCTTGGCAGAGTCCCAGAATAGTCTGGAAAAGCCCTCCCAGCCCATGGATCCCCCTGTGCCCATCCCCACCTTGTCCCCAGCCCAGAGCACTGAGTGCCACGGCCAGGCCTGCCTTGGGCACCTCCAGGGCTGGGCACTCCAAACCTCCCTGGGCAGCTGTGCCAGTGCCTGACCACCCTTTCCAGGAGAAATTCCTGCTGATGTCCCACCTGCCCCTCCCCTGGCACAGTTGGAGGCCGTTCCCTCTCGTCCTGGGGCACAGCCGTGTCCCCTGCCCTGGCACAGGGGGTGCTGGGGGCGTCTCCTGGCACAGCACAGGCTTGGCAGGGCAGGGCAGTTCAGCCAAACACCAGCTTTGAAGCTGCATTTTAATTTTGCATACAATGATTCTGTAAATTTTCGTTTTAGAAGGGTAAAAAAGCCAGTTATTGCTTATAAAGGTTCACTTCCAGCAGCTGGCGTTGTGCTTTCTTACAAAACCAAAGAAGTATTTTGCAGTTTTTAAATAAATGAAAGTCATATATTCATATCCATTATATTTATATATTATATTTTATTAAACAAGATATCTTTTTTAGTTATATTTTATTAAACAAGATTTTTTTTTTTTTAGTTAAAGTCTTTTCAGCTTATTTCTTATTTATAATAAGATAAGAAACATGGTGGGCTATGGTGAGATTGAAAAATTGATACAAAATACATGCAAATATGTCAGGATCTTATGGACAAATGATCCTTCTTTTTAAGTGAGACAGGAGACAGCAGATGAGAATTAAAATTCCTCCTTGGAAAGGGTTGTCCAGCCCTGGCTCAGGAGTCCCTGTCCCTGCAGGGATTTAAAAGCCCTGTGGATGTGGCACTTGGGGACAGGGGGCAGTGGTGGCCTGGGCAGTGCTGGGGGATGGCTGGACTTGGTGTTCTTGGAGGGCTTTTCCAGACTAAATAATTCCATGATTTTAATTTGAACCAATTTTTCTCTTTAACAGGAAGTTTCATTTTCTCCCTACACAAATTCCTTGGAGATTTGACAAGGTTTAGGTGGTTTTGAGGACATTCATTCCAGCAATTAACACCTAAAATTGAAGGTCTTACACCCTCCTCCCCTTCATTCCTGCAGTAATTGATTTTTAACCAGTTTTTAATTGGTTTAAATAGACATTAAGGGCCTGACCAGAGGCTGAGGACGTGGAATTGGGGTCACAGGTTCCAGATCCATCCCCAAACCCAGTGGGAGTCGACATTCCCTTGCTCCCAGAAGGTCCAGGCAGGGCTCTGCTGGGATCCAGGGTGGCTTTGGGATTCTGTCTGGAGAATTCCTGAGGATCCCAGTGGATCCAACCTCCCCTGATGTGTCACAGCAGCACCCTCTGCCACGTGTGGACCACTCTTTTAAGGCATAACACTTTAAAATTCCAGGTTTTCCCACTCTTAGGTTGGGAGATTCCAAGTTCAGCTCAGTGATGCCTCAAGGGATAAACTGAAAAAATGTTGATTTAAAAAAATGTGTTATCCTGGCCTCTTTCCATGGCTGCACAGGTAGGGAAATACTGATGGATTTAAGATATGCAGTCTTCTAGAAAGGTATTTCCAGCATTTCCCAGCAATGGCTGTTTCACCTTTCTGCCTGGAAAGCTGGAATTCTGCCAGCCAAATATATAATAATGGCCAGTCTTCGCGAGCGAAGATCCGGGGAAGGTCTTTCCACCTTCCAGCCTGCGCATTGGATTTTTTAGGTGAGACACAGTGTGCGCGGAACTGAGCCCACCCTTTAATCCTAAGGTTCATCTGCCGGGGCCAAGCGAGCTTGGACGGTGGCAGCGAGGTCCTTAGGACGTAGGTGGGTTGCCTTTAAGGGCTAACGAGCCCCACCTGCCCGGGAGTGGCCCTGACCGGGAATCGAACCCGGGTCTCCGCGGTGATAGCGCGGCGCCTTTACCACTAGACCAGCAGGGCCAGCCAAATATAGTGTGTTTAAGGCAGGAAACAGGCTGGTTTTTCTCTTAAGTTGAGCACTTCAGCCCCACAGTGGAGAGTTTCCCAGGAGCTGTGTAAAACCCAGCTCAGCCATGAGATGGAGCTCATAAAACAGAAATACCCCCTGTTTTTCCAGCAGGATCTCCCAGGCTTTGCTGCTTGCTCTGCTGGGGAACAGCCCATTGCTTTCTATACCCCTGTATTTATTGACAGAATATTTTCAGTGTCAGTTTTAGTCTGAGCATTCAGGCTTCAGCTTCCCCATCTTCCCTTTCATTTCAGTATTGCTGTTTGTTAAAGTTTATTAGTGTAATTTTAGGTGCCAAACATACCTGATATCCAGTATTTTTTCAGGAGAAAACAACCAGCTTGTGATATTTTCATATTTTTTTCCCAAACAGTTACAAGACGTTGCCTGAATCCCTTGTATCCATTAGCTTGTTTTTTCAGTGAGATTACTCTAATTATTACCTTTGTTTGCTTATTCAGGACTTGAATGGAGGGGGTTTTGGGTGGTTATTCTGTGGTTTCAGACCATATCCCTCCTCCTGCTGAAGGTATTTGGGAGTTATGGACAGCAGGGCTGGGGATGTGAATAACCATCCCAATGGATTTCTCAGCACTGATTTTCAGGCAGTTGTTATTGATTTCTTGCTGTTGTTAATTGTTTGATAATGTTCTGGTTTAGTTTAATGGATGGTATTTAAGTGTATAACACATTATTATGGCAGCAGCCTGGGCTGGTGGAAGGTGCCCCTGCCCCAGGCAGGGGGTGGAAGCTTTAGGGTCCTTTCCAAGCCAAACCAGTCTGGGATTCCAGGATTCCATGCTGAGATTCCTGGCCCTTTCCCAAGTGCCCATCCCTCGCAAGGGCAGCTCCATCCATCACCTGTCAGTGGGATGTGCCAAACAGGATTCATCCACAGGCTTCCTGTCGGCACTTTTACATCATATTTATAATATATAAATGTATTTGCTCTGGGGTGGGGTGGGAAATGAGGAGGGGGATCAGCAGAAGGATCTGGGAATTCTGTCAGGCTGGAGCCAGAGTTGCTGCATCGGTGCCTGACCTTGCTTATCTTGGGAATTTGGGGTTGTCCCAGCTCTGCCAAGCAGTTGGTTGTTTTACCTCATGTGGGGACTCTGGGCTGGGTGGAGAGCCCTGTGCAGGAGCAGCTGGTGTTTGGCTCCAGAGGAAGCCCGTGGGGCTGAGGTGGAAGCATGTGGAGAGTGTCCAGGTCTGTGCTGCCATTCCTGGTGCTGTAAATGTGTCACAGCTGATGGGGAATCCTGTATTTCCTCGTGCCTGAGTGGTGACATCAGGATTTACTCCTGATGGATTCCTTGGGATTTATTGCAAGGCTGCCAGAGTTCAGGGAGTGTTTGGGCAACACTCTCAGGAATAGAGTGGGATTGTTGGGGTGTCCTGTGCAAGGCCTGGAGTTGGACTGGATGATCCTTGTGAGTCCCTTCCAGCTCAGATATTCCATCATTTGGTCCTGCATAAGTACCACTCTTTGTCCGTAAACACGGTGTCGGTGCAAAGCCTTGGATTTCCATTCATGGAGAGTTGAGGGACCTCACACAAGATGTTTGTTGACTCACTGACTCCAATTTCCTTTTGTTTGCCCTTCCATCAGTACTTTGGGAAATGGGAATATAGCTTTGAGGTAAGTTTGGTGCTAACTGTGACCCCTGTGCCAAATCCCAAACCCTGGAATAGCATCTCCCTCCTCCTGCAGCAGTGCCTGTAGTGACACCTCTTACTAGTGACACCTCTTATTAGTGACACCTCTTATTAGTGACACCTCTTATTAGTGACACCTTTTAGTGCCTTCCCATAGAGGCTCCAACGTGCCAGTCCTTATTTACCAGGTGCTCTGGAGCCAGGCTGGGAGAGCTGGGGGGTTCACCTGGAGAAGAGAAGGATCCAGGGACACCTGAGAGCCCCTGGCAGGGCCTAAAGGGGCTCCAGGAGAGCTGGAGAGGGACTGGGGACAAGGCATGGAGGGACAGGACACAGGGAATGGCTTCCCACTGCCAGAGGGCAGGGAGAGATGGGAGATTGGGAAGGAATTGCTGGCTGGGAGGGTGGGCAGGCCCTGGCACAGGTTGGGCAGAGAAGCTGTGGCTGCCCCTGGATCCCTGGCAGTGTCCAAGGCCAGGTTGGACGGGGCTTGGAGCAACCTGGGCCAGTGGAAGGTGTCCCTGCCCATGGCAGGGCTGGCACTGGATGGGCTTTTAGGTCCCTTCCAACCCAAACCATTCCATGTAGCAGAGAAAAGTCTGCTCAGATTACCAAGAAGATGCTTGGCCCTGTTTTTACCCCTGAACAGTCCACTGACTTTAGGGGTTTAATATAATACAAACGTGCAACACAGAGATTCCCAAGTAATTAATTTATGTGCTCTGCTCTCCCTGAGAAGAGTCCCGGACAGGAGGCAGAGGGAGCAGTGATACATAATGGAACAAACCCCACAGTGACACTCACTCGAAGTGGCATTATAAGGACACTTGTCCTTGATATTTTTAGTGGCCTCTTTATGCTCACATCACTTTTTCCCTTATCGAGCCAAAAGCATGGAGAGGGGAACAGGCAGGAGGAGCATCCTGGCAGCACCAGCCCTGGGGAACCTGCAGGGATGGGCAGAATTTAGGGGAGTAGAAGCTCCCCTCCATCCCAAGCCACCTGGTGTTGGCACCACGGAGGAAGAGCTGGAACGGTGTTTGGGGAAGAAAATCCTTATCTGATATGTGAATGTTTAATTCAGTGTATATTTTTGATTTGGTGACTCTCAGATGGGCTCCAGGGTGGTTGGTGCAGGGTGTTAGTGAGAGATGTTAGTAGAGATAGTAGAGAGATGTTAGTAGAGATAAATAGATAGTAGAGAGATGTTAGTAGAGATAAATAGTTAGTAGAGAGATGTTAGTAGAGATAGATAGTTAGTAGAGATAGATAGTCGAGAGATGTTAGTAGAGATGGTTAGTAGTGAGATGTTAGTAGAGATAGTTAGTAGAGAGATGTTAGTAGAGATAAATAGTTAGTAGAGAGATGTTAGTAGAGATGTTAGTAGAGATGTTAGTAGAGAGATTTTAGTAGTGAGATGTTAGTAGAGAGATGTTAGTAGAGAGATGTTAGTAGAGATAGTAGAGATAGTTAGTAGAGAGATGTTAGTAGAGATAGATAGTTAGTAGAGAGATGTTAGTAGAGATGGTTAGTAGAGAGACGTTAGTAGAGATAGTTAGTAGAGAGATGTTAGTAGAGATAGTAGAGATGGTTAGTAGAGAGATGTTAGTAGAGATGGTTAGTAGAGAGATGTTAGTAGAGATAGTTAGTAGAGAGATGTTAGTAGAGATAGTAGAGAGATGCTAGTAGAGATAGTTAGTAGAGAGATGTTAGTAGAGATGGTTAGTAGAGAGATGTTAGTAGAGAGATGTTAGTAGAGAGATGTTAGTAGTGAGATGTTAGTAGAGATAGTTAGTAGAGAGATGCTAGTAGAGATGGTTAGTAGAGAGATGCTAGTAGAGATGGTTAGTAGAGATAGTAGAGAGATGTTAGTAGAGATAAATAGTTAGTAGAGAGATGTTAGTAGAGATTGTTAGTAGAGAGATGTTAGTAGAGATAGTTAGTAGAGAGATGTTAGTAGAGAGATGTTACTAGAGATAGATTAGTAGAGAGATGATGGGGGAACTTCATCTCTCCCCAGATCCTGCTGGGCAGTGGGAACTGGGGGGGGGAAGGGGCTGGATCCAGAGGCACCCTCAGCTCTGGATCATGGGATGTGAAGTGAATTGGCCTCAGGAGTTTAACGTGAAGCTGAAACCTTCTCCATACACATTCCTGTGGATATCCCTGCATTCCCACCAACCCTTCCCTCAGGAGCTCTCCCAGCTTTTCCCCCTCCCTCTGCTCATCCTCGAGTCTGATTGACCCCTTACCCAAATCTGTACCCCCCCCAAACCATCCTTACAGACCCACACCTTCCTGCACGTCATCACCCAGTCGTGCCTGACCCTGGGCCGCGTCGAGGGCGGCGCCCACGGCCCCACGGTGGAGGCGTGCGACGGCAGCCCCCTGCAGACCTGGATCCTCAGGAACTACTCCCGCCTGGAAGTCTTTAGGAAGGTTTACTACAGCCCCACCGACTATTTCCTGTAGGGGAAGGGGGAGGTTGGTATCGAGACGCGGCGAGCGCAGGGCGCGGCGCTTTTGAGGTGTTCCCAAAAACTTTCAGTTTTTGGGAACACCTCAAAAACGCCGCGCCCTGCAGGTCTTGGTGCTGCTTAGTCCTCCTTAGTTCTTAGCAGTGTTACTTGTAAATAGTTGTAGGTGAATTCAGGTGGTCGGATCTCCTGGTGGTGATGACTCTCGCTCGTTGGATTTTCTCGTAGAATTTCTCTAAAAAATGTTTTAAAAATTTGTTGTAGAATTTTTCTGTAGCGGTTCCATAGAATTTGTACAGGCTTTTTCATGGAATTCTCACAGAGTTTCGTAGAATTTTCGTAGAATTTCCGTATGATCCCCTGAGTTTGAAATGTCCTTATTTAAACAATGAAATTCCTGATTTTCAGTGGTTGAATCCTAGGGATGTTGGAGCCAGAGAATGTCAAGCCATCAGGAAATAATTTGGGTCAGGCTGGGCTGTTTGGGGGTCAATTCAACTTTTCTCCCCTGTCTGGGAGGCTCCAGAATTTTCCTGCCCCTCCTTGTCCCCCTGTTTGTTCCTTTGCTGTGTTTGATTGCCCAGTGGATGATCTCAGGCAAGGTTTCAGTGCTGGAATTGCCTGTTCCTGTGGTTGTTGGGATTGGGGCAGGGTCACAGTCCTTGTGGAGCTGCTGGAGAGAATCCAGAGGAGGTCACAGAGCTGCTCCAGGGCTGGATCCCCTCTGCTCTGGATCCAGGCTGGGAGAGCTGGGGGGTTCACCTGGAGAAGAGAAGGTTCCAGGGACACCTGAGAGCCCCTTGCAGGGCCTAAAGGGGCTCCAGGAGAGCTGGAGAGGGACTGGGGACAAGGCATGGAGGGACAGGACACAGGGAATGGCTTCCCACTGCCAGAGGGCAGGGAGAGATGGGAGATTGGGAAGGAATTGCTGGCTGGGAGGGTGGGCAGGCCCTGGCCCAGGTTGGGCAGAGAAGCTGTGGCTACCCCTGGATCCCTGGAAGTGTCCAAGGCCAGGTTGGAGCACCCTGGGCTAATGGAAGGTGTCCCTGCCCAGGACAGGGGTGGAATGAGATGGGCTTTAATTTCCCTTCCAACCCAAACCAGCCCTGCCAGCACCATCCAGCTCCTTCCCCACCCTCAGCTGGGACACAGCTGTGCTCTCTGGAGTGTCCCAGTGTGTGGCCTCCCCAGCTGTGGCCAGATGTGCAGCTGCTGACCTGACGTGTGTAGAGGTTCATCTCCTTTGCATCTGACAGAGGTCTAAGTGGTTTTTAGGAACTGCAAGACCTTTTCTGAAATAAGAACTTGGTAAATGCAGCATTTCTTAGCAGAGGGGCTCGAGGAGGGTGTTAATTGCTGTGATCCTGTGTGTGAAACCCCTGGATCAATCCAAGGAGTGATGGAGGGAACACCCTGGGCTCAGCTGGGACTCAGCCTGTCTTTGTGCATTTAAATGCACAGCTTGATGTTTGACTTCCCTGGATCTCTCCAGGAATTTGTTCTCCCAGTGCTTTCAAACGGGTGATTTATTCCTTCAGAATAAGTTCTGTCTCCTTCTGATGTCCCATCCCCCAGAAATACAACGTGGTGGGAGCAGAAGGGGATGGGTGTCCTAAGGAGGAGAAATGTGTTAAAACACAGGAGTTTTCATGTCATGTACTTCCCCCAGCAGTAACCTGTGCACCAGCAGAGCTCTGCCCTGAAATGCTCCACATTTCCACGTTGCTGGAGACGAAGCTCCTTTATCCAAGCTGCTGTTGCTTTGGAATGGTGTTTCCTGGCACTGTTTTTGTCCTTTCCTGTGCCATTTCCCCTGGCTGGGTGCAGCAGAGGGGCAGGGTGTCCTGGCTCCCCGTGGGAGGGCAGTGGGAGCCGAGTGGAGGAGCTGCCCTGGAGCCCCACGAGGGATCCCACGGCCGGTGCAGTGACTCGAAGGGGACTGAAATCAGCCCCCAGATGCCACTGCCATTCCCAGCAGTGATTCCCCGTGTCTCCTCTCTTGCAGAAGCTCACCCTGAGGCACGTGAACAGCAACCAGTGCCTGGCAGAGCCGTCGGAGGAGGACAGGCTGGTGCCCACCATGCGGGAGTGCGGGGACGGCCGCTCCCAGCAGTGGCTGCTGCGCAACATGACCCTGGGGGCCTGAGCTGGGCACTGCCATCTCCTCCTCCTCCTGCCCTCCTCCTGCCCTCCTCCTGCCCAGCCCAGCCCTCTCCAAACGCCACCCGAGCCACGAGGCATGTTCCAGGTCTGGGGGTGCCCCTTTGGCTGCTCCAGGAAGCTCCTGTGAGCCTGTGGATGATGAAGCACGTGCTGGTGAGCACACAGATGTGCTCAGAGACGGTTCCAGAGACACCAGAGAGGTGTTGCTGCATGTCCCACACCGCCACAGGGAGGTGGCCCAGCATAAAAGGCCTTGTGACACCAGTTGGCACCGGGAGCCACCCTGGCAGGGGTGTCTTGAGCTGGGGGTGACGGTGCTGGTGACCCTTGGCAAGGCCTGGAGGGTGTTTGCTGATCTCTCATGCCCAGTGGGAGATCTGACAGCACCAAACTGAGCAGCAAAGGCACCAGGCAGAGCCAAAGCCTCGTGGTTCGTGCCAGGAAAGAATGGGACCTGGTGTTTGGAAAACTGGGCAAAGGCTGCACTTGAAGAAGGAATTCCAGCAGAGGAGGCAGCAGCAGAAGACACAGGAATGTGGAGAGGAAGGAGGGACACACGTGGTCCTTCAGAGCAGCACAGAGGGAACTCTCCTTTCCATGGGAATGGAACTGTCCTCTCCCTGGGAATGGAACTGTCCTCTCCCTGGGAATGGAACTGTCCTCTCCATGGGAATGGAACTGTCCTCTCCATGGGAATGGAACTGTCCTCTCCCTGGGAATGGAACTGTCCTCTCCATGGGAATGGAACTGTCCTCTGCCTGGGAATGGAACTGTCCTCTGCCTGGGAATGGAACTGTCCTCTCCATGGAAATGGAACTGTCCTCTCCATGGAAATGGAACTGTCCTTTCCATGGGAATGGAGCTGTCCTCTCCATGGGAATGGAACTGTCCTCTCCTTGGGAATGGAACTGTCCTCTCCATGGGAATGGAACTGTCCTCTGCCTGGGAATGGAACTGTCCTCTCCATGGGAATGGAGCTGGCTGGGGCTGGACCTGGGGCTGCAGGGGCAGATGGAGGGACTAAAACTGCCCCTCTGGGACCAGCAGAGCCTGGAGAGCCCCCAGCCCTGGCTGCCCTCACACAGCAGTGTCTCCCTGTCCAGGACACAGGCGGAGCTTCATCCCTGGATCCCCTGCACGGAGCTGGATCCGCTCCCAGTTCTGCTCCCAGAGCAATGACAGAGGCTGATTTCTCTTTTCTGATGGTTTTGTGGCTCAGTCCCTTTGTTGGTGTGGTCCTTGATGGTCCCTGGTGGGATGTGGGGACAGGTCCTGCCCATACAGGTGACATTTCCCATCTATATTGGGGACATTTCCTTTGGTGACCACCCAAAATCCATCTGCTGCACTCCAGGCTGGGTTTTTGACAATAGTCTGTGGCTTCTTATTGCTCAGAGGGTTGAAGAGACTGAAATCCCAGGGCAGTGTGATCCCAGCCCGGGGAAGGGGCGAAATGTTTCCCAGGATTTCACTCCCACTCCCTCAAAAAGGTCTGTAAATGCACTGGGTCATTAAAAAGGACAGTATTTTCTGTATAATGCTCTGGTTGGAGTGGATTAATTGTGTCATAAACAGATGCATTATAAATTTATAGCTGATATTTTCTTGATACACGTCATTAAATGGAAGGCAGGAGGGTGTTAATTGGGAAGGTGATTGCTGTGCCTGCATGGAGCTGGAGTGTCATGGAGTAACTGGGATTGAAGGCTCATCTTTCAGCCTTCCTTCTCAAAGCAGGGCCAAACTCATCCAGTGCTCATCTCCAAATCACCCCAGGAGTACAGAATGTGGCTTAAAAGCACCAAAAAAGGGGGGAGATTGTTGTTGTGCTCCATAGAAAGAGCACAAAAGCCCCGGGATCCGATTTAAATAGTGATTTCCATGCAGGAAAAGACAAATAAATTATTTGTTCATCTCTTTCACCAGGGCTTTGGCCACTCACAGAGCCCAGGTGGGGTTCCTGTGTGCAGGCACTGGGGTTTGGGGCATTGCAGGAGGAGCTGGAGATCTTGGGGTGGCTCCAGTGTCCCCCATGGACACCCCTGGATGTGAGGAGTGACATCCCTTGTGCTCTCAGCGCTTCCCTGGCCCATCCCAAGGTTTGCTGGACGTTGGAGCTGGAGGTGATGGCAAAGTGCAGCTTGGGGGAGACCCCAAAAAACAGGCAGAAAAGGGTATTTTTCTCCTCAGGATTGCTGTGAAGGTAAATTTTATTCTGAAGTGATCAGATTTCAACCAGCACATCGTGGCTAAGGGATGACACACCGTAAATGTCCCAAGGGAGATCATTGCTCCCTGCCCCCCTTGGCTGTGCAGCTCAACATTTATACAGTTTGGTAGAATTAAAACCTGCTGGTTTGGTTTTCTTCGGGTGCATTCATCTTTTTCCGGATTGTTTTTATCTGGTAAAGGGGTTAGGTGCTAAAAACCCTGAATTTCCACCCAATAACTGCAGTTTTAGGGCTTTATTTCCCCACTGAGGGAGGAAATGGGGCAGCAGAGCTGGTGGGGGTGAGGGCTGAGAGGGGACAGGACGGGGTGAGTTGGACCAGGGGCTGCAGCTGTCCCCAGGTGGAGTTTAGGGCTCAGTTTTCCAGAACATCTTAAAGGATTTATAAACATAAATGAGAATTCATCCTCAGGAAACCAAGAGGGAGAGAGACCAGTTCGTGTCCTCGCTGTAGTGGAAGTGATTTCTGAGAACCTTTAGCACAAATATTAATATCTAAGAGCGAATTATTTCAGATTTTACTGTTAATTGCTAGACAAAATTAAGCCTTTTCGGGATTTCCAACTACAAAAAGTGACAGTGGTAAGTGTTGTAAGTGAGAGGAAATGATGTGCCCTTGATCTGTCTATAAAAATGATAATTACAAGAAATTATATAATTATAGATACACATATATGTAATTATATATGTAACAAATTATAAAGATGATAAAGATTTGTAATAACAAATTTTTGAGTTTTATAGTTTGATAAATATAATTTTATAACTTTATATGTATAGCTTATGTATTTACATGTAGTTTCATAATTCCTCCTCCTCCACTTCCTACAGTGCACTTTGATCAACTCATTTAAAAAAGGACTAATTAATCCCTCATTTAATAAGATTCCCTCCATCCAGAGGAGCATCCTTGCTCGTAAAAATACAGAGGGAACGCCCAAATTAACTCATTTTTATCAAGATTTCCCTGTTTCAGGTTGTCTTTGCAGAGGCAGGTGTGGGTGTGTTGATCCCAAGCACCAGCTCACAGCTCACAACTGTGAGCACTGATTATTAAACTGGTTTGCAAAGGTGCAATTAACTGCCAAGCTGGTGTTAATTATGGATGAGAGTCATTTATATGGATCGTAAAATAATCCATTTAGAAGTGATGAATGCAGACGTGGAGGTATTTTCCTTTTTTGGGGATTTCTCAGAAATGTTTTTAATTAGGACTGAGGGCAGAGTTAAACTGCAGAAGGGAAACAACCCACATCTCATTTCCCTTAAAAACTGGGTTTATGTCTAATTCTGAGGTCTGTTTTAGGGTTTTAGGGAGCCAACCCCTGGATAAGCTCCGTGGGGCATCACTGAAGGTCAGCAAAATCCTGACTCCAACTCCTGTTTCAAACTGGGAAGGTTTTGCACAGGAAAATGGCAGGATCTGCCCTAAAATCCCCATCCAGGCAGTCTCAAAGCAGTGGGACTGGATGACACCCGTCTGGGGACTGTCTGTGTTAATTCAGGTCATAAATAATCAGTTTGATCATTTTATTTCTCATCAGCTCCTCCTGCTTCCTCTCACGGACTGGATCAGAAGAAGCCTGGAAAAGCTTCCAGGTGCTGAAATTAGGGAATAAATGGAAACAGACAAAATATCTCCAGAGGTAACAATTGCCCAGGGGACTTTAAATGGAAGGAAACACGAACTCCTGTGTGCTGGGTGGGAAACCTCACCTGGAATGTTCAGGAGTGAAGTCAGGCACATCCTGGAGGTTTGGATTTGTGAGCTCAAAAGCACAGGAAGGACATGGAGCTGCTGGAGAGAGTCCAGAGGAGGCCACAGAGATGCTGCCAGGGCTGGATCCCTCTGCTCTGGAGCCAGGCTGGGACAGCTGGGGGGGTCACCTGGAGAGCCTTTGACCAAGACTGTATTTTGAGTGATATTTTTACCATATTGGTCAAGACAAGGTTTTAGGGTATTTTTCACACTGAAAGTGGATAAGAGGCAGTACTGGACTATGACACCTAAACATGGGCCACGCTGGGGGCTGGCTGGGAGAGCTGGGGGACACCTCTGGCACCTGGGGACATGGTCAGTGGTGGCCTGGGCAGTGCTGGGGGATGGTTGGACTCCATGGTCTTGGGGGACTTTTCCAACCCAAATGATTCCATGATTTGCTGATTCTCCAGGGGCTGCAGCAAAGGCTGCCCCAGCTCTGCTGCTCCTGCATTATCCCTTTTCCAGCCAGGAGTGCCTGCCTTCCATGGCTGTGGAACTTGTGCTGGCCTCTGACACAGCCACTGCTGCTCCCTGCCAGAGCCAGGGCCCCAGGACAGGGAAATGTGAGAATCCCAGAATCCCTGAGGGTGGAAAAGCCCTCCCAGCCCATGGATCCCCCTGTGCCCCATCCCCACCTTGTCCCTAGCCCAGAGCACTGAGTGCCACGGCCAGGCCTGCCTTGGACACCTCCAGGGCTGGGCACTCCAAACCTCCCTGGGCAGCTGTGCCAGGGCCTGACCACCCTTTCCAGGAGAAATTCCTGCTGATGTCCCAGCTGAGCCCAGCCCATCCCTGGTCACCCTGAGGTGTCCTCAGGGAGCTGCTCAGGATGCAGAACGTGGTTCCTCAGCCCCGGGTCTGCCTTTGGGATCCATTTGCTCCTGAACTAATTTGATGATTCACAGTGGAATTTTCTGTTCTGCATCCCAGGAACATTCAGCATCTCCATGTGCATCTGAATTGGAAATCCCCACATGGATTTCCTGAGTGGCTTTGCATCCAAATCAGTCCCTCCTTGTGCTGCTGGGCACCATCCCCTCCTCCCACCCCAGGGGAAGGACTCCTGGAGTCAATGGCACAAGTGATTCCTGAGGAAAATCAATCAGCTCGTGGTTTGGGTGAGGAAAGAGTGTTCTGGGCTCTTCCTTCCTCACTCTGTCTTTAGTGAGAGCTGGGTTGGCTGAGAGGCAGCACGAAGGAACAGCGTCAGGGACATCAGAAGGAATTAGAGGTGAAGGCACAGTGAATTCCTGGGTGTTCCTACTTTTTGTCCTGTGGCTCCGGAGTCATGAGATGAGCAGGGACTTCCATCACTCCGGGGCTCCTGGCTGGGGGCACAGAACTCCCCTAGGACCTTCTGGGGCAGCGTGTTCTTGTCACCAAGAGCCTTCCCGTGGCAAAGGACATTTCCTCGTGTCCATCATTTCCCTTTCCACTCACACTATTCCCTCACCTCACCTCACCGCAGAACATGGACTCTGGGAACGCTCTTGTCTCCCCAAAAGCAATTACAGTGTTGATTTTAATGTCAGTAATTAGCAGGGAATGGCTCCCCTTGGACTGTTGTCGCTCTGCAACCATAATGAGATTAATAACATGGACTCTTTGCCCAATTGCAACCTGAAGATGGGAAAGAGGCAAGAGAGGCCTCTGGGAAATCCGGAGGGATGGAGGAAGGAGAAAGAGTGGGAAGGAAAAGGAGAGTGGAAGCTGGGGAGGATGGATGGCCTGTGAGCCAAGAGGGTTCTGGCACTGCTTAGCTGGAGTTTGGGATGAATTCCACCCAGAATTTCTTTTCATCGGGTGGGAAAAGTAACAAACATGGTTACTTTTGTGTTGCAGCAAGGAAAGTGAGGTAGGGAACAGGAGAGATGGAATGGGAATAGAAAATAGCAAAGTGACACTCATCTTGGGAGAACTAAATTCATTCTCCAAGAAAATAAAAAAATAGTGTGAGACAGAAATGCAGTGGCAGGAAAAATCCTCAGAACCCATTTCTGAGGAAGGTGAAGGGATAATGGTGAGAAAATGAGGTGTGGTTGGGTTTATTGCACAAGTGGAAGCCGACAATGCCAATTTTCTCTGTACATCCCTTGGCACAGGGTCATGGAGCCGATGGCCCGGGTGGGCACCAGCCCTGGAGCACCAGGAGGAGGAGCAGGTGAGGAGTGAAGGGCCTTGGAATCACAGTGAGCCTTCCCAGCATCACCTTCAGCCCAAATGGCTCTGTGATTCCATGGGTATTTACTGCAATTTTTGGACTGATTTTCCACTGCCCACCGGTCCCAGCCAGGCCTGAGCTTTGTGGCTGTGCTGCATGGAAGGATCTTGCTGCTGTTTCCTTGTTCTCATCTCGCTTGGGCTGCTCTCCAAAATCCTGCTCATGCCCTTCCCTTTTGAATGATGGATACAAGGACTGCCCCAGTGTCCCACTGGCACTCGAGTGCCAGGTACAGGGATAATGACACATTCCTGGACCTGCTTCTGCTCTGCTTTGGTTTGCAAATATCCACCAGGTGGGACTTTCCCACCACATCATTTTCATGGACTTCCTAGATAGATGGGATATTGGGAAGGAATTGCTGGCTGGGAGGGTGGGCAGGCCCTGGCACAGGTTGGGCAGAGAAGCTGTGGCTGCCCCTGGGTCACCCCTAAAGCCACCAATTTTAACTGCTTTAATGCTGGTTCCAGTGACCCCACGGAATAGCCAAGAAGTGGGAAATGAATAATAAAATAAAATAAAATAATAACATAGTAGGAAGGAGGGGGGGTGCCCAACCTCCTCTCACCCCTGGCCCCTCCCGGCCGGTTCTGCAGGAGCTGGAGCCCCGCCGCGGGATGGGGAAGGAGGGGCCGGGGGACGCTGCGGGGCGGGGCACGGGGCGGGGGCGGTGTGCGGAGCATCGCGGGGGGCGGTGTGCGGGGGTCCGTGTGCGGGGGCCGTGCGGGGCCAGGCCAGTGCGAGGTGGGCGGTGCGGGGGCAGCGCACCGGGGCCAGCGCGTTGCGGGGTGCGGAGGGCGGTGTGCGGGGCGGATCGAGGGGCAGTGCACGGTGGGCACTGCACGGTCGGTGGTGCGGAGGGCGGATCACAGGGCGGTGCGGGGAGGGTGCTGCGTCGCAGGGCGGGGGGGATCCGGGGGCGGTGCGGGAGGGCGTTGCGCTGCGGACCCGGGGAGGTGCGGGGGCAGTGCGGGGGCGGTGCGCTGCGGGGCCCGGGGGCAGTGCAGCGGGAGGCGGTGCAGGCGGGCGGTGCGGGGCGGTGCGGGGGCGGTGCGGGGGCGGTGCGCGCTGGGCCCAGGCTGCCGACGGGGCGCGGTGCCGGGGGGCGGTGCGCTGCGGGCGGGGCGGTGCGTGGGGCGGTGCGGGAGGGCGGTGCGGGCCGGTGCCGCTGCCGCGCGCTGCCGGCGGCTCGCGTGGAGTAGCGGCAGCGGCGGCGCCGAGCGGAGGCTCCGCAGGAGGGCCGGAGCCAGGCTGCAGGGAGCTCAGCGAGGCTTTGCAGGGTCGCAGGAGCATGTCGGCGCCACGGCTGAAGCTGAGGGACGACTACCAGGTGGTGAGCACCTCGGCCAGGCGGCGGGGCGGCTGCGGCAGGGCCGGTGCGCTGCGGCGCCGGGCCGGTGCGGGCGGTGCAGGCGGGGCGGTGCGGTGGGCAGTGCGCTGCAGGCTCCGCGGGCGGTGCAGCGGGCGGCGCGGTGGGCAGTGCGGAGGGCGGTGCGCGCGGGCCCGGGGCGGTGCGGTGGCAGTGCGCGGAGGCGCTGCGGTGGGCGGTGCGCTGGCGGGCGCTGCGGGTGGCGGTGCGACGGGCGGTGCGGTCGAGGGCGGTGCGGTGGGCGCGTGCGCTGCGGGCCAGGGCGGTGCGGTGCGGCAGTGCCAGCGCGGGCGGTGCGGTGGGCGGTGCGGCGGGGCAGTGCGGCAGGGCGGTGCGCCAGGCCCGGGGCGGTGCGGTGGGCAGGCAGCGCGGCGGTGCGGCTGCGGCCGGGCGGTGCGGGGCGGTGCGGAGCGGCGCTGTGCGCTGCGGGCCCGGGGCGGTGCGCGGGCGGTGGAGCGCTGCGTGCGGCCTGGGCAGTGCGGCACGCTGCCAGTGGCGGCGCATGCCGGCGGGCCGTGCGGCAGCTGCGTGGAGGCGGCTGCGCCACGTGCAGCGCGGCGCGTGGGCAGTGCGAGAGCTGCGGTGCGCTGAGCGACGCGCTGCGCCTGGGCGTGCGTCAGGCGCTGCCGTGTGCAGTGCGGTCATCGCTACCGTGGCCCGGTGCGGCGCCTGCAGCCGGTGCATCGCCACACACGCGGGGCGACCTCGACAGGCGTACGCACAGCTGCATCGGCGTGGCCAACGTGTACAACTTCCCCTCCGCCTTCCTCTTCTTCATCGAGACCGAGGCCACCATCGGCTACGGCTACCGCTACATCACCGACAAGTGCCCCGAGGGCATCATCCTCTTCCTCTTCCAGTCCATCCTGGGCTCCATCGTGGACGCCTTCCTCATCGGCTGCATGTTCATCAAGATGTCCCAGCCCAAGAAGAGGGCCGAGACGCTGATGTTCAGCGAGCACGCCGCCATCTCCATGCGGGACGGGAAGCTCACCCTCATGTTCCGCGTGGGAAACCTCCGCAACAGCCACATGGTCTCGGCGCAGATCCGCTGCAAGCTGCTCAAGGTGAGGGACGCGGCCCCGGGGCGCGCAGGGCAGGGCCGGGTTGGGTGTTAGGGAGAATTCCTTCCTGGGAAGGGCTGTCCTGCTCAGGGCAGCGGTGGAGTCCCCTCCCTGGAGGGATTTCAAAGCCCTGTGGATGTGGCATTTGGGGACGGGGGTCAGTGGTGGCTTTGGCAGTGCTGGGGCATGGTTGGACTTTGTGATCTTGGAGGGCTTTTCCAGCCTTAATGGTTCTGTGAGAGAGCTGTGGCCCCATGGCCCCACTGCTGGTCCCTCGGGGACATCCCACCACCCCATCCCACCACCCCCTCCATGTCCCAGAGCTACTCACCCTCCGACAGCAGAGCTTTGCCATCCCTCCCTCCTGCCAGGGCTGTCCCCTTGTCCCTGCGTCGGGAGCAACCTGGTCTAGTGGAAGGTGGCCCTGCCCAGGGCCAAGATTTGGAACGAGGTGATCTTAGATCATTTTTGGGTCCTTCTGCTGCTGCCCCAGCCTTCCCGGCTGTCCCAGCCTTCCTTCTGTGTTCCTGGAGCAGGGACCACCTCCGAGAGCCTCAGGCTGCGGGCTGAGCCACCAGGATTCTCAACTTCCTTGGAGATAATTCTTCTCTTCAGCCCGGGATTTAAATGCATATTTATAGATTCCTACAAAATGCTCCGTTTTCCCTGACAAGTAAATCCTCTGTAGCTCAGATTCCTGGGTGAGCCGGTGAGGAGAAAGCTCTCTGCCTCGCGGGCATAACCCGGAGCTTTTGGGCAGCCCCGAGCCCAGCCAGGCAGAACTTTTTATTTCTGCGGTGCGTGAACTGCAGGCAGAGCTCAGTGCCAGGGCTGGACGTGGAGAACCCCGCCGGTGGCCCTGGGAAAATGGAGTGTTTGTTGGAGCCCCGCTCCGGCGGCCGCGGATCCAAAAGATCCACGGGGGAGAGGGAGGCAGGATGGAGGGGGTGGAAGGGGCCGGCTCGGGTGACGTTTGAGGCAGGCAGAGCATCCCGCAGGGTGCCCTGGCCCTCAGGTGGGTGCTGTGCAGGGAATGGGGGTGCCCTACCCTCGGGATGGGTGCTGGGTAGGGAATGTGGGTATCCTGCCCTCAGGTGGGTGCTGTGCAGGGAATGGGGGTGCCATTGGGAAGGGTGTCCTGCAGGGAATGAGGGTGCTCTGCCCTCGGGATGGGTGCTGGATAGGGAATCTGGGTATCCTGCCCTCGGGATGGGTGCTGGATAGGGAATGTGGGTATCCTGCCCTCGGGATGGGTGCTGTGCAGGGAATGTGGGTGCTCCCCCCGGGATGTGGGTGCTTTGTAGGGAATGTGAGTGCTCTCCCCGGGAGGTGGGTGCCGTGCAGGGAATGTGGGTGCTCCCCCCGGGATGTGGGTGCCGTGCAGGGTCCCCCTGCCCTGGGTGATCCCTCGTGGAGGTTCCCCAGCTTCGTCCCCTCTCCCCTGGCGGCTCCCCCCGGGCAGAAGCTCATCCCCCATCCGAGGCTCCTGAAGTTGTCCTGCTTTTCCCCAAATCCACGTTTCCCATGGGATTTGGCAGCCAGGATGTCTCAGTGTTGGGGGTTGCAGAACCCACCCCAGAGCCCCTAAATCCTGGGAGAGCTCCTAAAGAACCCCCAAAACAGCCCTGTGATAGTGTTAACACTATGAAATATCACATATAAAGATGTATAAATCTATAGAAAATAAAATTGCAGCATAATGTCATTTGTTTATATAATATAAAAGCATATGTTTAATCTATATTTAATAATATTGACGTTTTACACCACATGTTTAACAACATTCAATAATTCATGTGTAAATATGAGTTATGTAATATATAAATATAATAAGGAGCATCCAGCAGTGCCCTTTGCTGTCGAGCTGAGGGGCTCTCCCTAAATATAATTTAACTCTTACATAGAGAGCCACTTGATATATAATATTATATATATAATAGAACTGTAACAGCTCTCTGAGAGCTTTAAAGCATTTCAAAATATTAAGGAGCAAGATATTAAGGATATTTCAAGATACTAAAGAGCAAAAATGAGTCATGTCCGTTATAGCATTTGAAAATGACCCTTTTTTTGTGTGACTTGAAGTGCCTTGGGGGGAATTTTAAAAGTTGGTGCTTAAAACTTAGTGTGGCTCCAAAAAAATTCCCTGGAGATTAAATGTTAGTGAGCAGGTTCTGGGTCTGGGAGCGTCCCTGGGCAGCTGGGAATGGGGAGGGAGAAGGGAATAAAGGGTAAAATGGGGCTTTTCCAGGGATACAGGTGGAGCTGGCTCTGCAGATTCCCTATAAAATATCCCTACATGGAGCTTTCCTTGGCAGGGAGGGGGGGGAGCAGTGCTTGGCCAGCCTTCCTGGGGGAAAAACCAGAAAAGGAACAAAAAAAGGGAAATAAAAGGAAAATAAAGAGAGAAAAAAGGGAAATGGGGAAAAAGGGGAGAAGGGAAAACAAAAGGGAGAAAGGGGAAAAAAATAAAAGAGGAAAATAAAAAGAGAAAGGAAAATGGGGGAAGGGAAAATAAAAGGAAAATAAAAAGAAAAAAGGAAAATAGAAGGGAAATAAGGAAAAAGGCAAGAAAGGGAGAAAGGGGAAAATACAAAGAAAAAAGAAAAAATAAAAAAGGGACAATAGAAAGGGAAAATGGGGAAGGAAAAAATAAAAGGGAAAATAAAAAAGAGAAAATAAGAGGAAAATAAGTAAAAAAAGGGGGAAAAGGGAAAATGGAAAGAAAAAAAAATGGGAGAAAAAAGAGGAAACAAAAGGCAAATAGAAGGAACAAAAAGCGAGGGGGAAGGAAAAAAAAATCCAAACCCCAAGGATTGCAGCAGGGAGAACAATCCAGCCCCTCTTCCCAGGTCTTGCCAGGCCTGGACACGGTTCCCAGCTGGCAGGGAACAGGGATGGGGATAATTCCTGGCTCAGTGTTCCTGTCTTGGTTCCCAGCTCAGCTGTGCAGGTGTTGCACGCCCGGGTGCTCTCAGATATCCTTCTGAAATGCCTTTTTTTTTCCCCCACAGGAGGTTCTTTTCCTTGCAAAACTGTGTGAAATGGGAAATCCCTGTGCACTCTGTTTAATATTTCTTTATTTTTCCTGGTGAGCTCAAACCACACCAGAGAGAAACCAAACCCAGAGCCTCAACAGTAACAAATCAGTGCACAGCCCTGTTTGCTGTAACATTAATGGCAAACTGTTAATTTTTTAATAGATTTTTAGGATTGTAAAGAGCTCAAATGGCCCTCAGAATTCCTAAGCTTTCCTCCCTCATTTCTTGGGGCAAAGGAGTCACTCAAGGTCTTTTCTTTGACAAATTGTGGGCTAGAATAGCACAATAGTCCCTATAGGAATTCCTCCAATAGTCCCTATAGGAATTCCTCCAGCCAGGCTGGGCTTGGACACTTCCTGGGATTCAGGGGAGGTGTAAAACAATACTTGACTGATCTGTATTTTAACTTCCTAACTCCATCTCAAATCCCTGGGAGTGTGTGACATCCCAGCTGGGTCGTGGAACTCCTGATTTCCCTGCAGGGTCAGGGATGGTGCCCTGGGAATCTAATCTGGGGTTAGATGGGATATTAGGAGGGGTTTGTCCATGCAGAGGGTGGTCAGGCACTGGAAGAGCTGCCCAGGGCAGGAGTACAGTCCCCAGCCCTGGAGGGATGTAAAATCCATGGGGATGTGGCACTTTGGAACAGGGGGCAGTGCTGGGGGATGGTTGGATCTGATGCTCTCGGAGGCTTTTCCAGCCTGGAAGAATCTGTGATTCCAGGATTTCCTTCCCCCCTCTGGAGCTCATCCTGTTTTCCTGGATTGTGCTGAGTCCCTCAAGCCCCACGTTGTCTTTAACCCTCCTTTTCCATCACTGTTTCACCTCTTAAGATCCTGGAATCCTGGAATGGTTTGGGTGGGAAGGGACCTTAAATCCTATCCATTCCACCCCCTGCCATGTCAGGGACACCTTCCACTGGCCCAGGATGCTCCAAGCCCCGTCCAACCTGGCCTTGGACACTCCCAGGGATCCAGGGGCAGTGCTGGGTGGACAGTCCTGGGTGTCCCCAGTGTCACCCACAGCATCCCAGCCCCTCTCCCTGTGCCTGTGCCAGTGTTCTCCAGCTGTCCATGGGAGCAGTTCCCTCCCTGGAGCTGCTCCTTGCTCAGCTCACAGGAGTTTTTTGCTGCTTTTCCTGTGGGATTTTTGCCTTTTTAATTGAAAACTTCCCCGTGGGGAGGGAACAGGCCCAGCCCTGCAGGTGGGGCTTTGTGCAGGTGTGCCCTGGGCTCCTTTAGGGCTGTGTGAGCTGGGATGGGATCAGGGGGCAGGGCTGGGAAATCTGCACTTTCACACCCAAAAATGGGAGTCCAAACTTGAGCAAGACACCCCATTGCTTGTTTGGGGGTTGATCTGCTCCCAGCCCAGCACCACTCAGGGGGAGGTTTAGAAATAGAACCCAGGTCCCAGGCGAGGCTCCTGCTCCTGTTTGCTCTGTCTGATGCCTTTAGATATTAAAAAATCCCGTTTAAGTCGGTGGAATTGCTCATTGTGGGAATGTTCCCCTCAGCTCCAGATGTGGGGAAGGATGGAAAGGCATCCCAGGCAGTGATTTAATGCTGGGTTTGGCTCTGCACAACAACCCCAGCAGTTCCTAAAGCTCTTTTTTTTTTTTTTTTAAATCTGAATGGAAATAATGGGAAATTCTGTAATAAAAGTAATGACCAGGATGGGCTGTAATGTTCTGTTCCTGCCTATTCATAACTCAGGGAGAAGGAATAAAAGCTGGAGAGGGGGTGTTTGAGCAGGGCTCCTTATGGATTAGGGATGCCAAGTGTAGCACTGCGAGCTGGCATTGGAGGCTTCAGCTCTAGGTGGCATTTTATGGCTTTGTTATGTGGCTGTTAATGATGGGACACTGTGGGTGGCACAGTGACACCAGGGACACCCAGAACTGTCCAGCCAGCACTGCCCCATCCCTGGAAGTGCCCAAGGCCAGGTTGGATGGGGTTTGGAGCAGGCTGGGCTGGTGGAAGGTGGCCCTGCCCGTGACAGGGGGTGGCACTGGGTGGGCTTTAAGGTCCCCTCCATTCCTGTGGGTGGCCAGTGGTTTTCCAGGGCTCCCATGTCGATGATGTGTGATGGCAGTAAAATATGTGTAGGAAATAATTCCTCCCTCCTCTGCCAGTGCTGGGCTCCCTGCTCTGGCATGGCCTGGTGGCTGGAGCAGGGTTTGCCTGCTGAGATGGGTGGTGCAGAGCAGATGATGTGGGGTATGGGGTGTGGGGTGTGGGGTGCTGCAGGGGTGTCCTGGTGATGGTCATTCCAGCAGTGATCCCAGAATCCCAGACTGGTTTGGGTTGGAAGGGACCTTAAAGCCCACCCAGTGCCACCCCCACTGTGGGCAGGAACACCTTCCACTGGCCCAGGTTGCTCCAGCCTGGCCTTGGACGCTTCCAGGGATGTCCCCAAGCCCTCTGGGCACTCTGTTCCATGCCCAGCCTGCTCCTGACCTCCTGCCCTGTCTGTCTCTCCCTGCCCAGTCCCGGCAGACCCCGGAGGGTGAATTCCTGCCGCTGGATCAGCTGGAGCTGGACGTGGGCTTCAGCACCGGGGCTGACCAGCTCTTCCTGGTGTCCCCCCTGACCATCTGCCACGTGATAGACTCCAAGAGCCCGTTCTATGACCTGTCCCAGCGCAGCATGCAGACCGAGCAGTTCGAGATCGTCGTCATCCTCGAGGGCATCGTGGAGACCACGGGTGAGTGTGGGCTGGGAGACCGGGGCTGCAGGGGCAGGAGCTGCCTGCCTGGGACAGCAGCTGGCAGACCACGGGAATGACAAGCTGGGGGATCCTCCCAGCACGCGGTGGGGCCCTTGGGATGGGCCCGTGCAGGGTTGAGGGTTGGGCTCCGTGACACTCGTGGGTCCTTCCAGCTCAGCGTGTTCTGGGGTTGTGTGAAGTTAAAGCAGGAAAATCCCCCAGGCCCTCATGGACACCACCTGCTCTTTTAAAGAAGTTCAAGGGATGATTGGATTTTACCCAGAGTGGCACTCCAGAAGGAGGTTTTATTTCGTGGTTTTCCCAAAGCAATACTCTAACAGTGTCCCAAGTGAAGAGGAGCCAGCCTGTCCCACATTCAGAGGGTGAAAAAATGCCATTTGTTTGTCACCTCAGCACTGACACTGCTGAAAGAGCTGAGCTGATTGTTCCAATTACTGAAAGACTCCAATCCCACATTTGTGTGGCAAGTCACTGCCATTGGCATCCCTCTTGGAATATGCATGTTCAGTTGTGCAATAAATGGTGGAATATGAGAAACTATGGTTAGAAATGGAATAAAATGTGCAGCCAGCGATCACACACCCATCAGAATAACAGAGTAACAGGTGAACATCACACCTGACTCTGAGCTGTGTCCTGTGTGGTTCATGGACACCTGATCTTTGAAGACTGATTTTGCAGATAATTAATTCTATTTGTTAGATTATCTGGGCCAAATTTGCTATGCATGGATGAGTTGGTGTATCAGGCTCCTACAGGGTCTACTAACGAGAAAATAGGGTCCAAAATTTCCTTAATCCTGTTTCTTCAAACAAAGACGAAGTTTGGAGTAGTTCAGTGTAGCTCAGGAGTTTGAAGGGCAGCCAAAGTTGTGTCTCCCTCCCAGCTGTGGCTGTTGGAGGGATTTTGGCAGTGTGTGTGTTACCAGGCTGGTGGGTTTTGGTTCTCCCAGGATGTTCTGGTGCTGTGCTGATGCTGGGGCGGGGTTGGGAACGTGGGATGTGATGCTCCTGCAGCCAACGAGTCCATACCTTCATTTCCCAGCCTGCTTTCAGCCCCAGGGAATGTTCAGAATATCTTGGATCATTTTTTAGTCCATATGTTGGTGTTCCAGTGTTTCCATCCTGTTTTCCTTGCACATCCCAGAGCCTCAGGCTGCAGCCCAGCCTGGTCCCAGGGAAGCTGGGACAGCACAGGGGAATCCTCTGTGCTCTCCCATCCTGATATTTCCATAAAAACTTTCATATTTCCGTAAAAATTCCTAGATAGTTCCACAAAAATTCCCTGATATTTCCATAAACCCCCCCCTGCTGGGATGGAAGCTTTGCAGGGCTCACCTGCAGCCCAGAACACGCACCTGGCTTGTTTTTATTCTTCGCAGAATTGTTTTTCCAGCAAAATAATCGAAGAGAAGTTGTTTTGTAAATAACTCTTCGAATTTTAAAACAAAGTGGTGTGTTTGGGTTTGTTTCTGTAAATGTTTTAGACCTGGAAATTACACAGAGAAATGAAGAAAAAAAAAGGCAAAAAGAGGGATTTTCTGGGTCTTTAAAGCCTAATTCGTATAAGCTGCGAATTTGGTGACCTAGTTTTGTGAGATGAGCTGAATATTGGGCAAAATAGAGCAAAATGTGCTCTATCTTGATAAAACATGAAGGGATGAAAGGGTTTTAAAGTTAGAAAAAAGTCTTCCAGTGGGAGAAAATGAGGGAGGAGGAGAGGACAGGGCTGGAGGAGGACCGGGGATGGCAGGAGGGGGTCAGTGTGAGGGTGATGGAGAGGAGGGGAAAATCCTTCCTCCACGGCTCTGCCTTTCAGGGATGGTTCCAGCAGCCCCTTGTGCTGAGCCTGGCTTGGGTGTGGAAAAGAAGGACCTGAGGGAAGGGACAATCTCATCTGAGGATGCTGGGTTTTTTTTAAAGAGAGGAGATGTGGACACTTCAGCAGGGTTAAAAACCTGCAGGAGGGCAGGAGCCACCTCTGCCCTGGAGCTCTCCCAGCACATTCCTCATTTCACCTCCTGTCATCCACCATAAAGCCAAGACATCTGGCAGGGCAGAGGTTTTGGCTCTGGGCACAGCCAGTAATCCCTGTGCAATCCCTGTCTGTAAATGCAGGGTGTGCATCAGGAGCAGTGGGAAGGAAACACTTCCCATGGATCCCGTCCCTGGACACCTCTGCCAAGGGAAGGAGGGCTTTAACTCGGAGTTGTCTGTGAGGTTCATGCTGGCAGTGTGACCCCTGGGGCTGGGCTGAAGGTCCAGACACACCAGCCTCAGCACTGAGGGCATTTTTAAGAGGTCAGAGCCCCCAGGATTCTTCTCTTCATGGAACAACCAGAGCAGGGATTTGGGGAGGCTCAGCTGGGCTGTCCCATCCAGACCGTGCTCTTGCTGGGAGAGGCTGGACCAGATCACCCTTGAGGCCCCTTCCAACCTGGTGATGATGATTCCAGCCTGTGATTATTAGGAATATGATCCACAACTTGCAGCTGGCTCTGGGGGAGGCTTTGGAGGGGGAGCTGCTGGGGGCTGTGGCTGTGTGTCCCTGTGCTGGCTGTCCCCTGTCCCCTGTCCCCTGTCCCCTGTCTGTGGTGGCAGTGGTGCCACACGAGCCTCCAATCTCTGCTGGCGTGGAAGGAACAGAAATAACTTGCAGTTGTTTGGGAACCAGGCAGCTATTTTTGGGTTGGTGTGAGAACAAGGCTTGTTTGGGTTTTTTTTTTTACCTTGGAAAGTCAGTGAGTAGGTCGTGCATCTGGGAGGGCTTTTGTGGTGAGTTCTGGTGGGTGTGGCTGGGGGAGAGTGCTGGGGGCACCCCTGGGTCCCACCAGGGACTGCCCCGAGGGAGCAGGAGGGTCCTGTGGGGAGTAGGTTGGAGGAGGATTCGATGAAGTGTGGTTGGTTTGCAGCTGAACTGAAGTTCCAGCTGGCAGTGTTTGAGGTGGGGACTGATGGGAACAGGGTGGGAGAAGAGTTTGGGGGGTCCATTTGAGCCCAGAAGGGCCAGACTGAGGCCAAAGCCAAGGCTGAGCAGAGAGCAAGGCTGAGCTGTGTGGGGTGCTGTGCTGCAGCACCAGCCCAGCTGGTTCCTCAGGAGATGCTCCTGCTGCCTCCCAGCCCTCCCAGCTCCCCACAGAAGTCCCTTCCTGCTGCTGCTGTCCCAGCCCTCGCTGTGCTGCCTCAAACTCTGAGTTCTGAGGTGCAGTCACAACGTTCTGCTGGTCCTCCTGGGAGCAGATTGAGTTAGACTGGGAGTGAAACCTGGGCAGGTTTCAGAGCAGCCCCTGGAGGGTGAGTCTGCTCCAAGCCCTGCTCCTACCGGGGGTTTCTCTCGCATCCCAGGAGGAAACCAGATGTTCAGTGCAGAGGGAAGAACTTTTACCTTTCAGCCTGCAAAGCTGCCTTTGGGCTGGTTTTCAGTCCCCTCACATCAGTTACTGCAGGAAAAAATCCTCATCATTTTGTGTCATTGAGTTGGATTGAAATTGTGTTGGATTTTGGGACTCAGAGTGAGATGATCCTCGAGGACCCTTCTGACCCAGACTGTTCTGTGATTCTGTGCAGTGCTGCTTATGAAACCATCTTTTGTGTTTAGAGCTGGACTCAGCTCTAATGTTTCCCTGGAATATTAATTAATTCCACTTGGATCTGCCTTCCCAAGCAGGGAATGTTGCTGAGCAGAGCAGCACTTTTAGGAGGAGTTTTCCCCAGTGGATGTGCCCCTTGGCTCCTGTGCCACCACTCCTGGCTTGCCAGCCAGGCAGAGGGGCTGATAAATCATGGAATCACAGAATCCCAGGATGAAGCATCCCAGTAACTTTCCCATTTTCCATGTTGTTCTCATTCCAGTCCTCCACTATCTCCAGGCTGCAAGTCCCTCACAAATCACAACAAGGATTAGAAGGTGTTGAGTGTTTCTCCCTCTGTGTATTTACAATAAACAGGGATTTAGGAGCCAAATGTCATTGGTTTGGGCCATGTCTGTCTTTTCATCTGGACTTGGAGCCTCTTGCTTTGTTCCAGCAGGTGCTTGTGGAGGTTTTTTCCCCCTCTTTCTTTCCTGCTTTAATCCGTTGACTTTTGATCTGCGACACCGCCGAGGGGTTTAGGGAATTAGTAAATACACACAATAAATTTTGTTTTGACTGTCTGCAGAGGCAGTAAAGATTTTTTTGGAGCTGTCTAATGAGTTGTTTAAGCAGGATCTTCTCGCTTATAAATCCCACTTGGCTGATTAAAATCACCATTTCCAATGCCTTCTCTCATTAAACCATATAAAAATGATTTCTCATAGATGCCTCCCAACTTGATTAAGTTAATTTACTGCCTCATCACTGAAATTTTAATTTCTGGATATATAAACATTTCTTTATGCTTTCCTTACCCTCCTTAATTACAGGTTTTAGGTTGTTTGGATAACAGGACGTGGAAAGTGGGGAGCAGAGCCAGCACATCCCTGGAGGGAGGGAGGGAACCTGGGGCTTCTGACCCTCCTGACCTCCCTGGAGCATCAGGGCTGAGCTGGGCAAAGCCAGGCTCTCCTTCCCTTCCCTTCCTAGGGGGACTTGGCCCTTTCCAACCAGCTCTTTCTTTTAGCAAAATATCTCAGCAGACAGATTTTTTGTGAGGTCACAGGAGGGGTCACAGCCAAGGATGACTGAGGGGGCTCCTGACTCCTTGTGACAGGACAAGGGGGATGGGTTTGAACTAAAAGAGGGAAGATTTAGGTTGGATATCAGGAGAAATTCCTGTCTCTGAGGGTGGGCAGGCCCTGGCACAGGGTGCCCAGAGAAGCTGTGGCTGCCCCTGGATCCCTGGAAGTGTCCAAGGCCAGGTTGGACGGGGCTTGGAGCAACCTGGGCTGGTGGAAGGTGTCCCTGCCCGTGGCAGGGGGTGGGACTGGATGGGCTTTAAGGTGTCCCTTCCAACCCAAAGCAGTCTGGGAATGCTGCAGGATGCTCAGTGCTGGCTCTG